GTGATTTTTCCAGGTTTAGAAGAAATCAAATTGTAGTAATCACTTTAAGAAAAAAAAGATACTCACTTAAATTTAACTTTATAAATATAACATAAACAGCAGATAGTCTAAATTGTGTTGAGTTTTTTATTTTATTTAAACTGAGTTTCTAAATGAGTTTACACCTGATGTGCAATTAGTGACAGGTAAAATCACGTAACAGTTTAAAAATAAACACAGCCCAAATTCAAGATTAAAAAAATTACATAAATAATACATAATGAAAATAAATGCATATTAAGTTACAAATATTCTTAGAAAAACGAAGGACAAACAATTCATTTAGCAGAACCAAGTGTGAAAACTCACCCAGTGTTTTGATCAGTCGGAGCGCATACAACCGGTACCTCCAAAAATTCGTTACCACGACGGTCTATAATTATGTCGTATTGTATACGTTTAAAAACAAAACATCAGCAAACGCAGATTCGGTTGGTAACGTCTTTATCGTCACGCAACGGAATCGCATACAGTCACACAGGCAGCAGCACAAGGTGACTGACTGTAGGCTACAGTGTGAGCAGGCTGACAGCAACTCAACAGTGTAGTTTGCTTGGTGATTCGCGCTCTCTTCTCCTCTCCAACGGTACAACAACAGGGGGAGGAGACATGCTTTTCGCGGGACAACGTGAGAATCGAAATAAGCTCCTCCTACCTTCCCTCGAACGTTTTCAGAAACGCGTGGTCACAATGTTAAATCTAAATGTCCGTTGGTACATTTTACATAGTTTAAAATCCATAAGCAGATTGTTTTGGGAATGGTTCAACCGTGTTCTCATCCCACACATGAATTTTGTTTGGGTTCGACATGGGTGTCAAAGTGGACAGGATATTAGCAAATGATGTATTCGGGTTAGTTCGCCCATTTAAGACATGAAGTTGTATGCAATCCTTACCAGCACTATAGTGCATACACACTGACCCACTCTGTAGTCACCTCCCTGGTCAGAGTTCTGGCCGCTGGAAGTTTTTCAAGAAAGTACTCCCGGTTAGTTTCCGGGGCCTCAAAACTGTGCGTTTTTACGTGAAAACGTTCCGATCAGCTGTTGATAGCGCGACTCGCTGACAACATGTCTGACTGCGAAACTTCTGATGATGAAACCAATTTTAGCACAATGTCAGACGGAACAGATGATGATGAAAGTATAGCACAACGCCAAAGGGGATACCTAACCGGAGTATTTCCACTGGAGTCTAAACATCAGCTTTACCGTACAGTTTAGACATATGGGATCATAAAGTTAGTAAATATAGGGCTTACCCGTGGTACTGGTACAGCAAAACTCTTTAAAATCAGTTTTTTTCTTTTTCCTCCTTGGTTGGGGATGTAATCGTCTTCGCTGAAGTGAGCACTACACAAACGATAATCCTTGATTCTGGAAATTTTAGCTCCCGCAGAGTAGCCGATGGCAACCAGCCAAAGCTGTCTCGTAGCTATATCCGAAACAGGAAAACGATGGAATCTGAACGGTGATCCCGGCACATTCTTGTGGTCACAACCTGGGAATTTACAAGTTCGCACCATTGTTCATTTTCTACTTTTTACGTCGTTGTCAATCGATTGTGTAAACACTATGGAACAGCTGATCGGAACGTGCGCACTGTTGACGTTGACAGCAGCGCGGATTGATAGAAATGGAAAGAAAATAGTGCCGATTAAAACTGAGGTAGGCTATGAATTTTGTCTGGCGTGTTTTTTGTGTGGTAAATTAATCAAGCTTTGAAACGCAAATAATTTTTTCACGTAAAAACGCACAGTTTTGAGGCCCCGGAAACTAACCGGGAGTAGTTTCTTGAAAAACTTCCAGCGGCCAGAACTCTGACCAGGGAGGTACAGAGTGGGTCAGTGTGTATGCACTATAGTGCTGGTAAGGATTGCATACAACTTCATGTCTTAAATGGGCGAACTAACCCTTTAATGTATTTGCGAAACGATCAACAAAAATTAGAATTTTTAACAAGTGGATTTTTATTTTTATTTTTTTACATTGCATACCGTTACAACGACTGTCAACAACCAAGCTCGAATTTTGGTCTTACACAAACCCTGGCAATATCATTTTCTGCATCATAGCAATATAATGTGAGTTACATTAGTCATGAACTGGCTGTCAGTATGATTTACCCACAAGTGCTGCGGCATAGTTTTTGGTTGAATTCGAATTGGGGATGAAAATCATTTGTGTGAGTTATTTCAGTGAGTTACCGCTCTGATGGATCCACGTTGATTCACCAAAAATAACCGGTTACGAGTAATATCTTCGGGAATCTGGGCTGCGTTTCCCAACAGCATGTGATCCCCCATGCAGCCTGAGCCATGTGCTGTATATTGTGATGTATTTGTTGATTCACTAGAATGAATCGATTCAAAAGAATCATTTGTTCAGGAATTGGTCACGCTGTTTCGCGCTGCATTCTTAACTTGCGGCACTATAGCTTAATAATAATGCTACATGCCGCAATAAAACCGCTAGAGAATCAGAATACAGTTCGGTTCTCAAACATGCATCGCACTAGCTGTTTCCTGCACTACTAGACTAAGTTAGTGCATGTTTAAGAACCTTCAGTAAAACTGAATGTCATGAAAATCATATGAGAATTATGCTCTTTGTGTTTTTGCTTCTATTTATTTTCTTGAACAGTCACTCAAATATTAACGGTGAAGGATCGCATGCCAGAGGGGGGGTGGGTGACTTGTAGTGAGGGGGATGGGAGCTTATGATGACCCGTGGGAGGAGTCGTCTGTCCATGCATGCAGGCTCAATTATTTTTTTATTTTTTTAAGATCGCCTCTTTTTAACAAACCTGAATAAACAAGAAATGTATTTTTTTATTTAAAAAGCACATTAAAAGCACACATCCAAACACATTGCAGAGCGGTTCAACGATTCGCGATGACTGCAAGTAACTTATAGGCTTTATTTGTGTGAGCTGAAGGTCAGCCATTTTGTCATTACTTGCAGCATGTGTAGCTGTTTGAAATGTCTACTATCTGCAGTACCGCCTGCCAGCTGTTGGGCTCACAAAGATACGAGAGACGTTTATTTGTAACCCATTTTAGATCAGATTCACTGGATTAGGTCTATATTTGCATATACACATTTATTTTAATTAAACATTACAAAAAAATGATTATGATAATAATATTTTAGCATTAATAAATTAAGAACCCCTTAAGCGCTGAACCGTTTCAGTTGGATTCCACTTGATTGAGAACTTAGATTCATTAAGTTAGAGGAAGTAAAATGTGGTCTGACAGTACACTACTACACCAGTACATGGTGTACACTACCCAAACCAACACATGATAAAAAAGTAGCCTACTTCTCTCAGATCATAGAGCAGGAAGATAATTTGGCCCCGCCTCTTTTTTTTAAGCCAGGGACACAAAGCTCCTGAAACGACACTCGGCGAGAGAAAGACGACGGTATTTTCGTATCATATAAAAGCCACGATAAATAACGCTGTCAAATTGACTATCACTTCAAATCAATTACCTCAGTGCTAGAGGTTATCGAGGCAGAGCGGGCAGAACACGCTCAAGTATGATAATATGAGGGCAGGTTTACAAGATTCATCTGAAGTTACACACGGTGATGACACTTATAAAATGTTAAGTCAAAACCTAGTTGCAGCGTTTGACACACGATGGCAGGCAGGCACCAGTCATTCACAAACAAGAATTCGGATGGACTAAGAAAATGCTGTGTGTGAACTGAATACAGTGAACTGATGTGTTGTTACGATTCAGTACTTCGCCACCCAGTGGGCTTTGTGAATACTGACCCAAATGTAGTCTTTTGTTATACAGTTCCCCCTACAGACAAAAGACGAGATGACAGTCTTCTTTCCGTTTCTGTTTGGAAACAAATAACTGCTGAACTGTCTTTCTTTTACTGTCTGTGAACTGTGTAAAAAAAAAAATAAGACAACTGGTAAACGTACTGCTTTTGGATGCAAAAAAAAAGTCAAGGCAATCATGGCAAACATGTTTATTAAATTAAACCACAAGTATCGTAATAAATAAAACATAAATAAAACATAAATAATTTTTCATAATTATTGTTCAAATGTGTTTTATTATTCCACACCATGTGATATGAAAAGGATGAATGAATGGTGAACTGATTTAAGATCAGTATGAATCTCTAAGATAAGATTCCAACATAATGTATAAATCTGTGCAGAGATCGTGGGAGTGTTACTGTGAGATTGAATGTAAAAGCAATTACACACAATTGAAAATATTGGCACACATGGGATATTAAAAAGAAAATGACATCACATAAGAGACAGAAATCACTATTACCATTGGCGAAATGGTGAGAAAGCCTTGTTAAACGCAACTTTTCTACTCATTCACACCAACAGACACGCATACAAAATGTGCTGAAGAAAAACTTCTTGATTTGTAAAAGGAACTGATCATTTTTAATCAGTGTTCTTTCAGTTTCTTCCTGAAGTTTAATTGGCCACTGGAAAGCAATGTAAACGCACTAGCCACTGGAAATCCGGGCATGGGTTTAAATTGTTGCACTGGTTTGGAGTCATCTGTAGGAATATACTTCAATGGTCACTTCAGAGTCCTCTGAGACTTGCTTTGGCAGAGATACACAGCAAAGATAAAAAGTACTTAGAGAAACACTGCTGTACAACTTAAAGGGCCAAAGAGATGACACTTATTAAAACACTTTGCATGTTAAGATTTAGTAGGCTAATTTATGTTCAATTGACACAGGTACTAAAAGTGTGCTAAATGTTTTAATAGATAAGGCCCGTTGAGTAAGCTGCAGATTGCAGTGGCAGTGCAATCCCCCTTCTAACTATATTAAACTGCTCAAATGTGTCTAACAGAGGTTGCAGTAGAGGACGGAGGACAAGACACGATTATCACGAGCAATCTCGCTCACTAATATCAGCACAGTGAGCAACTGGGGAACACTTTTTCAAAATTTTCAAGTTCCACAAAGGGTTAAAAGGAGCATAAAGACAAAACCTCCACAGCGATGAGATCTTCTGAGCATGCACAGCTGAATTATTACAAGATGAATCTATGTCTCCTCTCACATCCTTACTATACTGCTAGTTTTTTTTCCTTGTTCTTCTTCACAGGTTGCTTTCTTGTGTGTCATGGCCAGAGGAGTTGATGGGATGCAGACCTCCGTTATCGTTGAGCCTCTTGGCACGGTACGTCTCGTATTGGATGTTATGAGTGACCTCCTTCAGGTCCTGGAGGTGAGACCTGAGTATATGAAAACATAATTAGTGTCGAGTGTTTTTGGAAATATTTCATAAAGATATGAAAACATATGTTTTTTTTTTTTTTTTGTTAATATTAAGAGTGCAATAAACATTGATATATATATATATGCATGTATGTCAATAAATGACTGACTGAATAAATGAATTATATACAGTTTATACACTAGGCTACTGTTCAAAATTAGGGGAACACTATGATTTTTAATAGTTTTTGAAAGTCATCTCTTATGCTCACCAAGGCTGCATTTATTTGATCAAAATTAATTTAAAAAATATATTGAAAATGTATTCCTGTGAAGGATTCAAAGCTGAATTTTCAGCATCAGTACTCCAGTCTTTAGTGTCACATGATCCTTCAGAAATCATTCTAATATGATGCTCAAGAAACCTTTCTTATTTTTATCAATGTTGAATACAGTTAATGTTTTTGTGGAAACTGTGATAGATTTTTTAAGGATTTTTTAATGAGTAGAAAGTTCAGAATAACAGCATTTATTAGAAATAAAAATCTCCTGTAACATTTTTAATGTATTTACTGTCACTTTTGATCAATTTAATGTGTCCTTCCTTGCTGAATATTAATATCTTAAAAAAAAAAAACACGTACTGACCCCAAACTTTTGAACAGTAGTAAATACAATAAACTATTAAGATCATCACTATAACAAATAAAGTTGCATACATCACCTAATCATGAAATCACGAAGTAAGGAGAATTCGCAGTGGTTTGGGTTTTCAACTACAGGGACGGGAAAAAAAAACTTGTTTTGTCAGAAACATGCACAAACACAGCAATATAGTGAACACACAAGTACAAATACAAGATTTACTATAAAATAGGTAATTCTTTTTATGCAGTACCTCAAAAAGTTTTATTGAAATGTGTTTATTAGGAAATGTATGTTGTCCTGCCCTAAATAAGATGCCCTAAGTAAATACTAACAGTGGAAAGCAGTACTAAGAACAGACAGAACACATGTATGTTTTTGTAACTTTTTGAGATTTAATTCATTATAAGATGTCAAAAGGTGACAAATAGCACATAGGGACATGGTAAAATGTGTCATCTGTAGAAAAAAGTGATTAAAATGCCTTGTGTTCACATATTTGTATTATTTTGTGCAAGTATATAAACCCTAAAACATAATCCTCTTGAAAGCATTTTCGGTCCATGTTTTGAGTGAAACATAATCTGATTTTCTGCTGGGACTATAATATATAGAAAATTACCCAAATATTGTGGGTGATGGTGATGTGCAAACTCCGTTCACACGTAGTTGGGTTCAGTAGGGTCACATTGGAAATCTGTTATTCAAAGTCTAATTTAAACCCGAAAACAAACGAACTTGTAGGATTTTGGCAAATTTGAAACAAATTGTATGGAAAATTCCTTCAGAAATATTTAAAGTCCCCCTGTGGTGGGAGCGTTTAATGTTGTTTATATGTCTGTGTGGTGTTTTTAATCTGCTTTAAGACAAACCATGTGCAAAATTCACAAGTCAACACCATTGCTGAGTATTTTCTCCTTAAAGCTGCAGTGAACCAAAGACAAACTCAAAACCGTGGTTTGAAATTGCTGGTGTTTCTGACGTCACAAACTACCTTGTAACCGTATCTCTGCAGCTGGTGTGAGTGAGTGGAGGCGGGGCTAATTTGCATATTCATAGAACCACGTATACTAAATGAGGCAAGAGTGTGTAGAGTTACATCCAACCTATTTTAAGGCATGAAGTATTTTCTTTTTCAAGGAAAACACGTTTAAATATGTAATTTTGATGATCAAAGATGAGTTTTAAGGGATAAAATTATTGAGGGGGACTTTAAGGTTCTGCACTATTTCTATTTTACTAATCAAATAAGCAAGTTTTTAATTGATCAAGTAATGTTTGATCATCATGTTTCAACTGTAAAACGTGTAAATCGGTCAATTAAGCCATTACAAACTTTTAAAATAGGGTTATGTGTATTTATATGAGGGGGGCGGGGTGTATGGCACAGTGATTAACTAGGAAACTTAAAAATGGCACTACAAAAAGGTAGCCGATCCCTGATCTAATCGAACAGAAATTAATATTATTGGCATAGTGACACTAACAGACCAACTAACAGATCTTAGAAATATGCGTTAAAAAGAAAAATAACACAGCAAACACTTCTGCCCACTCACCCTCCACCACTCCCCAGGCTGTCTTCCTCCCTAAAACTCGTTTCCCATTGACCTGGTACTCTTTATCACTTCCTACCACGGCAAAGGGCATTGTCTCCTGTAATGCACAGATTTAATGGGACAAACATAATGTGAAAACAAATTGACCAACAGATGAGAGCGTCCAAAGATGAAAGAAGATGTAAAGAAAAAGAACAGCATGTGAGATCTTACCCTGATCTTATCATTATCACTCTTATCCTCCGTGTCTTCATCAAACTCTTTCTGCGGATAACACTCGATCCCACACATTTCCAGCTCCTTCCTCACCTGCAAGGGATTATGGTGAACTCTAGTTAATCGGTGTAACCGACTTGATAATGAATCACCCTGTGAATCCGTCTTTCATTCTCACCTTTTGTTTAAATTCAATTTTCTCTTCAAGAGTGAGTGTGTCCGATTTGGCAATGACAGGAATGATGTTGACCACACGACTCAGATGTTTCATGAACTCAATATCCAACTGGCGAAGCCTGAGAAGGGGAAATAAGGGGGAAGATATATGATTAATAGACTGATATAATCTGATTTTAAAACCGGGACACTGGTCTGCCTAAGGTTCACGGTTTGACTACTGTTGCTCAGTCAAGCATTCAGAACCTTACTGGCTGAATGAGGAGCACTCATGCATGTGGTCTTAAATCAATTTAATTACCAAACCTGCAACGGCAAGCATTTTTTCAATTATTGACAAATAATAAAAAGAATTCTGAGAGATGTGAATACTCTGAAGAAGCACACAAATCCAGATGTCTTATTGCCGTCTTCTAGAGACCAGTTTAGTCAATTACAGTTTGAACTATGTCAGCAATACGTGAGCTGATTCAGTATGTGATTAGCTGCCCTTATGAAAAAGACGTGCACTTAATTGTATTGAAAGTGCACTTGTAATGTACTTAAAATCTTAAAAACATATTTGTAAAAAACTGAACTTGCAGATAACATGATATGAATTAAATAAAGGCCATTTTAGTGTACTTAAAGAGAGTACACTTCCATGGCTATATTTCTTAACACTTATGTACACTTTTTAAAAATTGCACTGTGAAATAATGTCAAAATAAAAGATTTAAATGACATTTCAAATGCTCTTCATGCTTTAAAGCAAACTTACTTTGATATGTTGACTGACATACTATAAAGCACAATGTACTTGATTATAATTTGAATTGTAGCATGTTATTCGATATTGCATTTAAAGTTAATATTTTAACCCCCGGTTTCAGACAAAACTTAAGCCTAGTCCCAGACTAAAATGCATGCTTGAACTGTTTCAACTGAAAGCAACTTGCACTGACATGTCTTAAAACATGACATATCTTAAAATATGTAATATTGTTTTGTCTCAAGGTGCAGTTTTTTCTAAGGTATGTTTATAAAAGCTACTTAAATGTGTAATTAAAATATATATATGACATACAAGTTTCAATAGAAATGACATTACATTATATTTTAGTTTATCATTAATGCTTGTCAGTACATTCGGCAATACACTTTAACCATATTTAAAAAGCAATAGAACTAATTATGAAATTAAAGATGTACTCTTAAGTTCAACTAATTGCATTTGATATGAATGTAAATTATAATGTACTTTCATTTAATTGCAAATAACATGCAATTAAGTGTCTAAAAACATTACATTGAGTTTGAACTTAAGTATTCTTTTAAAGTATATTCTTTATGTAATAAGGTATCTTTTTAAAAAGTATGCTTAAGTGTACACACTATGTGAGCTGTTTTACATGGTAGCTATGTGAGCTAAAGTAAAATATGTAAACTCACGAGTGTCCAGTTGGGGATATGAAGTACAAGCAGCAGTGCACTCGGGTATCAGGGATGCGTTTCTTGCGAGCAATGTTGACTTCTTCCTTTAAAAACTTCTCATATTGTTCATTGATGTATTTGGATATGGGCTCCCAGCTAAGAACAAAAAGGAACAAATCAACAGTGTGACATGTGGAGAGTAAAGTACATGAAACTTTGAAACAAAATGGAAGCACATGGAAAAAAACGGACTTTCTTTGTGAAAGGCAGTAAAAAAACAACAGTGTTAAAGTTTTAGGTATGCTTCGTTTAATCATGAATGAAATGTTTTTCATTGTCATGACAGTCAGCAACAGAAGATTCAACCCCCAACGCAGCAGCGTTTGGTCTGAGGCATTTGAATGGCAGAAAAATACTGTGTTGCTTTACTGAGACCCTTGGATGTGATTACTGGGGGCGAGGTGCCAAACCAGACTCACATTTGGCATCTCTACCAACAATCTACATCTTGTCTCGGGAAATTAAGTGCAAATCTGGAAGCCGAAACACTGACCCTCACACTTTGAACATGTTTTTGATGCCAGTTAGTAGCGGCTAATGCATGTCCTCAGTTTCTCCGATGCAGTGATGGCATTTTGGATCATTTGCAAAAACTAAATTGATTGAAAATAGCTATGAGTCCTCTGGATTTAAAAGAAATCACACAATACTCACCAATTATCATTGTTGATTTGGTCCCCAAAGCCTGGTGTATCAACGACTGTTAACTTCATCTTCACCCCTCCTTCCTCAATCACTGCAAAATCAACATTTATCAGAGCTACAAATGAAGCATGTTAGATTACAGTGATTGTTTCTGTTTAAATACCAGAGTATAATATGGGATCAGACAGGATACAGTGGTTCAATGTCACAAGATAACCTCAATTATTTTGTCCATACAATGAAAGTCAATGTTGTGCATTATATGGACAAAAAACAAAACAAAAACACAAATCTTCGAAACACAAATATTTGAGAGGTTTCTCTCTCTCCATTGAAAGTCCAGGTAACCAAAACTTAGGCTACATTTACACCGTCAGTTTTTGGGGTTGACAACCGCATTTACTTACAGGGGTGAGTCTCGAAATGTCCGGTTCACACAGCAACTTACAGTAGCGTCTTTGAACGTGCAACATTAGTCAAGGCCGTATTTTCTTACCAGTAACCAAAGCGACAGTGACCAAAGTAATATCAAAGATGGCGACGTCCATAAAACTGAAAGGTCATATCACTTGATACGACAAGAGTCCAATCGAGCCACGAGTTCATACATCAAATCTTCATTAACTGATAGCAGCTTTTACATCTGGGTGGAGAGCAGAGCATTTGGGTCGCACGTACAACACAAAACTGAGGTGAGCGGCTCCGGTGGAGAACAGTGACTGGATCTAGGACCTTCAGAGGACACACAGCTCATATCTCTGTCGCTGTAAGTTACCAAAAGCAAAACCATACACCAAAAAAACGCAATACACGACAGACATGCATTTGTGCACTATCTATGTGTTTATCATTGTTTAGATGTAAATAAAAGCCTCAATTAAATCTGTTGCATCTCTTCACAAGACTTGGATTAAACCACTTGATTTATATGGATTTGTTTTTACAATACGTTTATGAGCTTTTTAGAAGCTTTAGTTACCTTTAATTTCAATGGAGAGACAGTTTAAATCTTACTTTGTGTTTCAAAGATTACCCAAAGTTTTATGGGTTTTGAATGACCTAAGGGTGAGTACATTTTGACAGAATTTTTGGGTGAACTATCCCTTTAAAAATATCACCTTTTGTGTTCCACAGAAGAAAGTCATACAGGTGTGGAACAACATGAAGGTGAGTAAATAATGACAGGTGTCATTTTCGGGTGAACTATACTTTTAATTCAGACATGTTTATCCAGACACAGTGTAATGGTGATTTAAAATATTTGCACCTGATTTCTAATGACTTCCATATAACACAACCTACGGAACAATATCAAACAGGGGTCTACACAAGGTTAAAACATGAAATTTATTAAATATCTAACCTGTTAGTGCCTTTTTCTAAACACCATTTGGGTGCATATGGTATCATTTAGTTTGCCAGCTGTTCGCCTACCTAAGGGGATTCACCATCAGCTGGCCTCCCTGGGCACAACACATGCCAGTCTACACACATCTTACTCACAAGCACCATACACACTATAGGTCACCACTGTGCTCCAGTTCCTGGTGTATTGATTACATGAGCAGACACTAACTGAGTCTTTCTTAATTAGCCCATGATGTCTATTTCTGTCGGGTAAAAGGTCTGTCCTATAGCAAACAGTGGCTAAAAGCCAAAGGCCCCTCAAGGCAAGTCATTTAACTCGGCGGCCATCTTTAAAACGCCTATCGTGCAGCTATTTCAGTCATGCAAACACAGCTCCTATCTCTTTGAATGGGGAAACATCAAATTCTCCAAAGCTGTTCACCAAGCATATGATTAAATTTCCTCTTTGAAATCCCCAATGAAATCTGACAACAACCGACTCATACATTTTGTTTCTAAATGCTCAAAAAAAACTGCATTTTTCAGGCTGGACCAGTCATTGCACATGTGCAGTCATAAGCGCGCATCTCAGAACACAGAGCAAACTGAGCTTCTAAAGGCGGCTGCAGTGGCGCAATGATTTTACCAATTCGTGATTGGCTCTTTTATTTAGAAGGCGGGATTTATTCCTCCATATCACATGACGCACTTCCCATTCATAGTAAGATGAGTGCACTGTCTTTGTATATCTAAAGTCCTTGCTAAAAGTTGACTGACTGAGACACTGTTGCGTGTTTAGAAGTCATGATCAATATTCTCTTACCATGCGAGACAGATTTAATCTCAACAGTCTTTGGAATCTTGTCATCACGACTCCAGCTTGCACTCCTCCTGCTCACCTGTGACTTAAAGAGAGTATTCACTAAAGTGGACTTCCCAAGACCACTCTGACCTGGAGAGAGAAAGCGAGGAGGAATGGTAAGAAACAACAGTCAATCGGGAAAAACTATAAAAACGGAAACTTAATCACTCTCCCACCCACCAACCACCATAATGTTGAAGTCAAAGCCTGTCTTCATGGTCTTCTTCCGCATCTGCTCGATGATGGTGTCTATACCGATGTATCCAAGCAATGCAGATCCTCGACCTGACCCTTGACCTTCACCCCCTGTTCCTTGGGGTGAAGGCAAAAAGGGAGCGCCAGAAGGTGGTGCCACATGAGAGGGCTTAGCTGGGACGACAGGTTTAGGTCTCACTTCAGGGGGCACAATTTCTGACATGTCTGTGTGAAAGAATGAACATTCAACATTCAATACATTTAATCAGGCTAGGTGTTATTACACTATAAATCCTACACTGTGCCACCCTTAACCCTAGAAAACTGTGCATAGTTTTGTCATGTGATCATATTTCAGGTGCTGCACATAAGAAAATTGATAAGCATTTTTAATGCTAAAAACACTCTCTTTTTTTTTTTTGCATGTGAAAGTACATTTTTATACATAGCAAGTATAATTAATTTAGTGTCAAATCATGTATCCACAAAAAAAACATCAGACATGTTGGTGAATTGCCAATTTATACAACAATGCAAATTATTTGGCTAAATATTAATCAAATTATTAAGATGTAAAGGAGAGATTAAGCTTTGCGTCCAAATGTACTATTACAAATCCTACCACAAAATATATAACTACCTTCAAATAATCCTGAATAGTAAACTTTTAAAAGCAATTAAGCAAAATATGACCTAAAACAGTTTTGTTTATATTAGTATTATAATTGTAATTATTTATTTGAAATTAATTCAAATAAATGTTTTTGAAATGTAAGCGGTGTATAAAATATTCTGAATACTACATTTTTAAATGTAAAAAATGCAGCAAAATACAACTTAAAACAATTTTGTTTATATGAATATTAGTTATATTAGTTATGATGATATTGTTTTAAATGTAAGTGGTATAACTACATTCAAATATTCTAAAAAATAAGACGTATTATAGTGTTGTTCACATTAATATCATATAATAATATTCAGAAGCTGTATATCTATGGCCCAATGTTATGCTATTTTCAAATTACACTGTACAGCAGAAATCTTGTAATATAGGTTTTATCTAAGTCCTATTTCTTATTCCCTGGCCTAACGGACAAGTAAGTAAAAAGTGGCACAGCGTACCCCACTCTTCCCTACACTGTTTTGCATGGACAATATGTAGTTACTCAGAAACAACAGGATTAATTGGTGATAACAACAAAGATTAGACAGTAAACAGTAAATAATTGGACTCAGAAAGACAAACACCTGTGTGTGCTATTTTTTTAGTGCTCCTATTTCCCAGCCTAGTCCACTTTAAATGCTCCACTGAGTTGTCGGCCTATATTAACACCATATGCCACAATAATAAGCAACAAATAATGAAATATTACAGAAGCACTCAACAAATCTCTTTATCGGATTAATCACCCACGGCTCGACCTTTCCCACGCACTAAGACGCTTTTTAAACACAACAAGAGACATTTCCTTCAAGCGACTCTGCATGATGTGCGTCTTTCATGGAGAATGATATTAATATTACTCGCATTTTAAACGTTACTAGCTGTTTATAAATTACGGGGAAGCCAAACATCAGCATGTTCATGGGTTCATGCACACATAATCTCCCGAATTGTTCGTGTATTTACCTCAAAAGGATTCGAGTGATAACGAGTAATTAAAGGGAAACACTCTTCCCACTTACCAATCCCTGTTTTTGTAGCGATCGCTGGATGTGTTTTATTCTCGTCCTTTTTTCTGCCTTTCTCCGCTGTTTTACAGTCTATAAAAGTAGGCTATAAGTAGACTAAGGCAGCAGTTGAACAGGCGTTAGGGAATGATCATGTGTTCAGGTTCACCTCTCTTCCTCTTTCTTTCACTCTGTCTCTCGCCTTTCTATTCGCAGCTCGATGCACCTCATTCCTTCCTCCACCCTTTTTTTTCGTTACCAAGGAAACTAACGGGAGACTGGGGGATGCAGCGCGCATGCTCAGTGCGCGGGTCGACCTGAAATTAGGGATTCGGGTCGTTGTTGGGTGATATGATATTTGTGCGGCACTCTGATATTTAACTCTTAGCCGTTTGTCTGTGTTTGTTTAAGCTTGTTTTGTACAGATATTTATATAGGCCACTTTACAAAGCAAGAAAATTAGGCTATTACTGTGATTATAATGATTAGTAGCCTAATTACAAGATCGGTGACTAGTGTAAAACAACGCGACAGAATATAGATTACAACGGGACTCTTTAAGGAAAACGTGTTTTTTTCCCTGTTCCAAAAAAATATGATTATGGAGTTTATGGAGCAAAATAATTCATAAACAAACAATAGCCTAATATCAACTAACAACTATCCCGTTCTGCTGACGTCATCAAGTCCTCTTATTTTCCAACTCTCTTCTCCATTCTATATTAAATACTCATTAAATATTCTGAAATAGCCTGCATAATTTCATGCAAATAAAATCTTTCATTTTAACCTAAACTCACAATACCACATAACGGTTCAAAACAAAACTTTAATTTTGATTTGCACTTAATGTCATCAAAACTATAGGCCTACTCACATTTTACGCCTTTGTATTCCGGTGCCTGCCTGTCTCATGAGCTCTGTTCACATGTGGAGTGTTTGTGGCGTATACAGTGGCCACTGAAGTGCCGTTGAGCGTCAATGTGGCTTTTACCTCAAAACAGGGTTATCTCAATGTGTTTAGACAGGCCTGTGCTTGATGATAAGGCGGGCTCCCTATTTCGCACACTACCATTTACAGTTTGTCCTTTCCCATCTATATTGTGGATTATATTCAACAAACACTCTGTATAGCCTACTCATGAATATTTGGGTTTAAAGGGTTCATATATATATACTGAGTCTTGAGCATTTACCCTTTGCACAGTGACATCACAGTCTAATCACATGATCCCAAAGAGCAGTTAAACACAGGGCCTAAACTAATGTTTTTCCACACCTTTCAATGGCTTTCAAAAAAAAAGAAAATTTACCGGCCATAAATATGTTTTAACAAGCATGAAACATAGATTAATCCTTATTAAAGTTACAAAAGTTATTTAGTCAAGAGCAATGAGTGATTGTTCTGTGTCGTTTGTTGTTTTATTAACATTAAAACACAGACAGCAGCAGGAATACTACACGTGCGCTTTTTTTAATGAACTGTTTACATTCAGTTAAGACATAATGGTTACAAGGATACTTGCCAAGACAGGCATTGTGAGATAATATTGTTTGAATATGTCTGTTCATGCAAAAGAAGACGTGAAAGAGAGCTCAATTCAGTATTCGCTGGGCGTTCGCTTCTGACGTGAGATGCGGATTTCTGTGCGCGCGCTTCGGATGTTCGCACAGAAAACTTACCACATAGCATGCGAGTAATGATTTGAGTTCCCTTTCGCATCTTCTTAAGCTTGAATTTTTAAAATCACAAGGCTTAAACTTTCGTGACGATTCAACACTGCCCCGTCAACTGTCCCGAGCATCGTTAACGTTTGTTCATGTTCTCACAATTTGTTTCATAAAACTGCTACCAGCCAACTGGTGATTGACACCGTTCCATATACTCGGCAACTCAGATTTTACTCGCATTTGGCGCTTGGCGAGTGTACATTTTCCGCCCTATCACACATACGCTGGTTAGGTCAGTGCTATTCAGTGTTCTGTGTGAGTTTTAACACTTGCTATGCAATTTCTAAGGTGTTCTACTAAGTGATTTTTTGATGCAGTTGCTACAGTGTTCTGGATGGTTGGTTGTTTTCCTTAGCCACATAATTTTAGGGTATCAATATGAAGTATTATATTGTGCACCTAAGTAAAATATTTAGGCGTATGGAGTTTCAAATCCCTAACCGTAGGTATGAGAAGTACTAACTGTGATTCTCGCCCAAACATGTGCCACTAATGACTAGTTTAAGTCTTCCTATTTGACACATGATACATGCTTAGATTGTTTATATTCAAAATTTATGTGAGGCTTCTATGTATATATTTGTGTCCTTACATTCAATCCTTCTAATGTAATTCCAGCAATTTGTCTTTGCACTTACCTGTAGACACGCATTCTTCAGGACAGGACTGTACATCAGCTCCACTCCTCATGTCTGCGACTACAGATGGCTGTAATGGTGGGGGGTCTTCTTGCTCTCTTAACCACGGGTGGTTTATTTCTCTAAATCTGTCACAATCTGTAGTATGAAGTGTGTGTTTGGGCTCTTGTCGTTGATCTAGAGTGAATGGACACTGCGGCATGCAACCAGCTGCATCACGTTTCTTGTCATCAAATTTAGTTGGACAACTAGTATCACACTTTTTGTATAAGCGTATACCCCTGTATTTTCTTCCGAATCTGTAATCTTCATGCAAGGTCGCTTCGCTTGAAGAGGATTTAGAAGATTCTGAATCTGAAAGGTTGCGTCTATTTTGGGATGCATTTCTGACATCCCTCCCTGTGTTCGCTGTTTGGTTTGAGGAAGGTCTTCTCCATGCCTGAGGAGTTTTGAAGTATGTCGGTCTACTGTCAGGTGTTCTTTTGATCATAGGTCTACAGATTCTGCTCAGCTGACCGCATTCGGTGAATGATCTGGGACTCTTCAAAGGGAACTGGAAGCCGCTCATTCGGCCGCACTGATCTGATGTATTATTGTTATGGGATTTGATGACGGAAGTGTCTGTCTCGGAAGCTGCGGACTGAGGCCTGATCTTCGGTTTAGACTCTTGGTTGTCATTGGCATTGGTTTGATTGTGTTGGGAGGAGTTAATCAGCATATTACTTTCATTAGAACCATCATTGGTGGTGTTGCAGTCCTCTGAAGCTCGGTTTTGCCTTGTCGATGAGCTTGATGAAACCAGTTCACTGTATTCCTTTGGAGAACTTCCATTTTTCAGTTCTTGAAAAATATCCTTTTGGCTTGTGGTAGCTTTAGGTGATGAGGCTGGTTTTATAGGTGTTGATTTTTTGTAGAGTTGTGGATGGTTTTGAGGTTTCTGACACATCATGGTAGGTCTTTTTATCTGCGCGGCTGCCCCTAAAACTATCTTTGAATGAACGGGCTGTTGTAACTTTTCTGAAACAGCAGGATGTCCATCGCTCTGAATTTTTGGGTTGTTCTCTTCACTGCTTCCCTTGATCTCCTCCAGATTAGACACGTGGGCAGTAGAGTTTATAATCCTCCCTGTTTTAATCAATCCAAGCCGGATTCGAACTAAAGTAGGGTCCTGGGATTGCCTCTTCTTTTGATAGCCTGCTAAATTTTGTGGTCTGCTTTCCCTTTTTTCAACATGTCTGAGGTTTTTAGGGCTTATGCTCACAAACGTTGGAGGCTTGGTAACTTCCCTGAAGCAGACGTTCGAAGTTTGTTTTAGCTTATCTTGCCGTTGAGGTCTGAGTGAATCTTGTTGTAGGCCAGTTTGCTTTTTTTGACCCCTCGTGTTGGTTATGGGGATTGATCTGACGCTTCTCTCAGTGGATGAAATGGGTGAAAATCGAGATATTTTGCTGTCTGGCCATGTTTTACCACGTATATCAGCAGAATGTAATGGTTTGTCTTTGTCTGTTGGTAGCTCTTTAATTGTAGTCGCTATTTGAGAAATGGTCTTGACTGACTTCAATTGTGATGAATTCAGGGATGTATCCACTATATTGATGATGCTTTAGAACAAAGAACAATAGAAGGATGGATGAGTATTATTAGGTTTGATCAACAAAATGAAGTAACCTTTATACCAAACTTTTCAACAGGGTAAAATATTGTAAAATTAAAGACATTAGCAAATATCTAATGTTTGGAAATTAAGGTCCTTGCACACTGAGTCCGAAATTTTTGTATGCGTTTTTTCGTTTTCGTCATTTGGTGGCTCTGAATTGTCAAAACACCTCTCAAAAGGCTTGCTACGGATGCGAAAAAAGCAGAAATTCAAACTCGATCCAAATTTTCTTATGACGGACGAAAGTTTCGGAAACAGTGTGCAAACTTGATTGACAACATGAGGTCGTATTTATTTTGTAACGTGCGAAAATTTGGGACGAGAATTTCGGACTCGGTGTGCAAGGACCTTGAGTCCTTGACACATGATAATGTAGTAGCCTATGTTGAGACAGGGGTTCTCACACTGGGGTCCAGGGACCCCCAACGGTGTTGCAAGAGGGTTCTAGGGGATCCGTACAAAAATGTGAGATCATTTTTTATTAGTATAATGTATTTTATTGGTAATGTATTTTTGTAAAAGTTAACTCTAAAACTGATTTGTAATGATATTTAGTGTTTAGTGATATTGTAATGCTATGCAAATAAATATTAATTTAACTGAAAATATTTCTCATTAGCTTTTTATATATATCAAACATAGTGGGGAGAAAAATAAACACTCAAATTAATACTAAGTAAATATTTTCCAGATAATATTTTAATACTTTGCTGTGGTACAGTAACAATAAAATGCTAAAATGGGAGAAAATACACTTAATACAAATTAAAAAAAATGTAGATCCTAATTTACATTTGATTTGTTTCGATACAATAACAATATATAATAGACAAATATTTAATTTGGCAAAGAGAAAGGCTTTAATATCACATTGTTTTTCACAGTGAGTCTTAAAGTCCCCCTGTACTCAATAATTTTATCCCTTAAAAAAAATTCTTATGCCTTAAAATAGCTTGAATGTAACTCTATACCCTTGCCTCATGAATATGCAAATTAGCTCCGCCCCAACTCACTCACAAGCTCAGAGATCCACTCCAGAGCCGTTGAAAAACATATGTAACGGCTCTGATCCCCTCGTTGACGTCTTGACGATAGTTTTTGATGTCAGAAACAACAACAATTTCAAACCGCGTTTTTGAGACTGTCTTTGGTTCACTGCAGTTTTAAGGAGAAAATACTCAGCAATGGTGTTGACATGAATTTAAACATGGTTTGTCTTAAAGCATTTTAAAAACACCACATAGACATTTAAACAACATTAAAAATTTGATTTTCACCACAGGGGGGCTTTAACATTCTTTAACAAGGCTTTAACAACCCTTTTTTCAACATGTCTGAGGTTTTTAGGGCTTATGCTCACAAACGTTGGAGGCTTGGTAACTTCCCTGAAGCAGACGTTCGAAGTTTGTTTTAGCTTATCTTGCCGTTGAGGTCTGAGTGAATCTTGTTGTAGGCCAGTTTGCTTTTTTTGACCCCTCGTGTTGGTTATGGGGATTGATCTGACGCTTCTCTCAGTGGATGAAATGGGTGAAAATCGAGATATTTTGCTGTCTGGCCATGTTTTACCACGTATATCAGCAGAATGTAATGGTTTGTCTTTGTCTGTTGGTAGCTCTTTAATTGTAGTCGCTATTTGAGAAATGGTCTTGACTGACTTCAATTGTGATGAATTCAGGGATGTATCCACTATATTGATGATGCTTTAGAACAAAGAACAATAGAAGGATGGATGAGTATTATTAGGTTTGATCAACAAAATGAAGTAACCTTTATACCAAACTTTTCAACAGGGTAAAATATTGTAAAATTAAAGACATTAGCAAATATCTAATGTTTGGAAATTAAGGTCCTTGCACACTGAGTCCGAAATTTTTGTATGCGTTTTTTCGTTTTCGTCATTTGGTGGCTCTGAATTGTCAAAACACCTCTCAAAAGGCTTGCTACGGATGCGAAAAAAGCAGAAATTCAAACTCGATCCAAATTTTCTTATGAAGGACGAAAGTTTCGGAAACAGTGTGCAAACTTGATTGACAACATGAGGTCGTATTTATTTTGTAACGTGCGAAAATTTGGGACGAGAATTTCGGACTCGGTGTGCAAGGACCTTGAGTCCTTGACACATGATAATGTAGTAGCCTATGTTGAGACAGGGGTTCTCACACTGGGGTCCAGGGACCCCCAACGGTGTTGCAAGAGGGTTCTAGGGGATCCGTACAAAAATGTGAGATCATTTTTTATTAGTATAATGTATTTTATTGGTAATGTATTTTTGTAAAAGTTAACTCTAAAACTGATTTGTAATGATATTTAGTGTTTAGTGATATTGTAATGCTATGCAAATAAATATTAATTTAACTGAAAATATTTCTCATTAGCTTTTTATATATATCAAACATAGTGGGGAGAAAAATAAACACTCAAATTAATACTAAGTAAATATTTTCCAGATAATATTTTAATACTTTGCTGTGGTACAGTAACAATAAAATGCTAAAATGGGAGAAAATACACTTAATACAAATTAAAAAAAATGTAGATCCTAATTTACATTTGATTTGTTTCGATACAATAACAATATATAATAGACAAATATTTAATTTGGCAAAGAGAAAGGCTTTAATATCACATTGTTTTTCACAGTGAGTCTTAAAGTCCCCCTGTACTCAATAATTTTATCCCTTAAAAAAAATTCTTATGCCTTAAAATAGCTTGAATGTAACTCTATACCCTTGCCTCATGAATATGCAAATTAGCTCCGCCCCAACTCACTCACAAGCTCAGAGATCCACTCCAGAGCCGTTGAAAAACATATGTAACGGCTCTGATCCCCTCGTTGACGTCTTGACGATAGTTTTTGATGTCAGAAACAACAACAATTTCAAACCGCGTTTTTGAGACTGTCTTTGGTTCACTGCAGTTTTAAGGAGAAAATACTCAGCAATGGTGTTGACATGAATTTAAACATGGTTTGTCTTAAAGCATTTTAAAAACACCACATAGACATTTAAACAACATTAAAAATTTGATTTTCACCACAGGGGGGCTTTAACATTCTTTAACAAGGCTTTAACAACCCTTTTTTCAACATGTCTGAGGTTTTTAGGGCTTATGCTCACAAACGTTGGAGGCTTGGTAACTTCCCTGAAGCAGACGTTCGAAGTTTGTTTTAGCTTATCTTGCCGTTGAGGTCTGAGTGAATCTTGTTGTAGGCCAGTTTGCTTTTTTTGACCCCTCGTGTTGGTTATGGGGATTGATCTGACGCTTCTCTCAGTGGATGAAATGGGTGAAAATCGAGATATTTTGCTGTCTGGCCATGTTTTACCACGTATATCAGCAGAATGTAATGGTTTGTCTTTGTCTGTTGGTAGCTCTTTAATTGTAGTCGCTATTTGAGAAATGGTCTTGACTGACTTCAATTGTGATGAATTCAGGGATGTATCCACTATATTGATGATGCTTTAGAACAAAGAACAATAGAAGGATGGATGAGTATTATTAGGTTTGATCAACAAAATGAAGTAACCTTTATACCAAACTTTTCAACAGGGTAAAATATTGTAAAATTAAAGACATTAGCAAATATCTAATGTTTGGAAATTAAGGTCCTTGCACACTGAGTCCGAAATTTTTGTATGCGTTTTTTCGTTTTCGTCATTTGGTGGCTCTGAATTGTCAAAACACCTCTCAAAAGGCTTGCTACGGATGCGAAAAAAGCAGAAATTCAAACTCGATCCAAATTTTCTTATGAAGGACGAAAGTTTCGGAAACAGTGTGCAAACTTGATTGACAACATGAGGTCGTATTTATTTTGTAACGTGCGAAAATTTGGGACGAGAATTTCGGACTCGGTGTGCAAGGACCTTGAGTCCTTGACACATGATAATGTAGTAGCCTATGTTGAGACAGGGGTTCTCACACTGGGGTCCAGGGACCCCCAACGGTGTTGCAAGAGGGTTCTAGGGGATCCGTACAAAAATGTGAGATCATTTTTTATTAGTATAATGTATTTTATTGGTAATGTATTTTTGTAAAAGTTAACTCTAAAACTGATTTGTAATGATATTTAGTGTTTAGTGATATTGTAATGCTATGCAAATAAATATTAATTTAACTGAAAATATTTCTCATTAGCTTTTTATATATATCAAACATAGTGGGGAGAAAAATAAACACTCAAATTAATACTAAGTAAATATTTTCCAGATAATATTTTAATACTTTGCTGTGGTACAGTAACAATAAAATGCTAAAATGGGAGAAAATACACTTAATACAAATTAAAAAAAATGTAGATCCTAATTTACATTTGATTTGTTTCGATACAATAACAATATATAATAGACAAATATTTAATTTGGCAAAGAGAAAGGCTTTAATATCACATTGTTTTTCACAGTGAGTCTTAAAGTCCCCCTGTACTCAATAATTTTATCCCTTAAAAAAAATTCTTATGCCTTAAAATAGCTTGAATGTAACTCTATACCCTTGCCTCATGAATATGCAAATTAGCTCCGCCCCAACTCACTCACAAGCTCAGAGATCCACTCCAGAGCCGTTGAAAAACATATGTAACGGCTCTGATCCCCTCGTTGACGTCTTGACGATAGTTTTTGATGTCAGAAACAACAACAATTTCAAACCGCGTTTTTGAGACTGTCTTTGGTTCACTGCAGTTTTAAGGAGAAAATACTCAGCAATGGTGTTGACATGAATTTAAACATGGTTTGTCTTAAAGCATTTTAAAAACACCACATAGACATTTAAACAACATTAAAAATTTGATTTTCACCACAGGGGGGCTTTAACATTTTAGGAAGGGGTTAATAAGGAGAGGAACTGCAAATTTGGGGGTCCTTAGCATCAAAAACATTGTATTGAGATAAACATACCTGGTTGGAGAACTGTCAATCTGGTTCTCTTGTTCCAAGCTTTGGCCGGTCTGACTGAAGGAGGAAATGTGGATGGGCTTTTTTAAGACGACAGAGGGGGAAAGAGGCACAGGACAGGGGGGCACTCTAGTGGGTGAAGTAGATGGATCACATGTGGGACAAGGAGACAGACGAACAGGAGAGTAGGATGAAATAAAGTGAGACGATGGACTGAGACGAGAAGGAGGAGTGGATAAAGGTGAGAGACGGGAGGGAGAGGAGGTTGAGGTAACTGGACATGGGTAGAGACTGGAAGGGGAAGGAGAAATAGGGCCAAGACTTGGAGAGAGTCTTGCTGAGGACAGAGAGGATGTGTTGAAGGAAGATCCTGTAGGTAATGTGTTTCCCGTCGGGTCTTGCTCACATGGGTTCATTGCAGTAAGACACAGCCTTTCATGAAAAAGTTTGAGTATGTAACACAAAATATGTAGTAAGTTGTTCAAAAGAACCATGAAAAAAAAAAAAAAAAAGATTCCAAAGTCTATTTTTCCATTGAATATACAGAAAAAGTGTTGCATACTACTATGCATATGAGTACATCTAATTCTAAAAGTTATATGTAATATTACTGACCTGTGATCCTGAGGTCTGTTTACTGGACGAGAGAGCGAGAGAATGAAGGGGGAAGAGTGTGTCAGGAAATGGTGGGTACTAGACTTACATTCCCTCCATTCTTCTCATCTGAAGCTCCACTGTCTCATTCACCCACTCTCTTCACATCATACTCGCTAAATGGCAGAATTTGTGAAACTCCAAAATCAAGTGTCAAACACCAAAATCAAACACCAGTTTGTTTATTTCCAAGAGGGGAAAAAACATTCTACAATTATCCACTTTATGAATGACATTATTATATATGATTGTCCAAAAAATTATTAACCAACAGTTTAACACTGTTTTATTCCAAGAAACGTTGCATTCTGTTAATGAAAACCAGTGCAAATGTAGATGTTACTGACCAAAAATAAATTTAAGAGACACAAAACTATTGGCACGTGAAAATAGGCCTCGGATAAAAACAGTAGCCCACAAATAAGCACTTAACAACAGTGTTTTCTTTTTCTTTTTCGTATCTTAGGGGCCGTTTACAAGACACCGTTTCAAATAAAAACTTAACAAAACTTTTATGTGTTTTGGCTGTTCATTCACACGACAACAGCGTTTTGAAGGCCTGAAAACTCAAGCTTTTGAAAACGGGTTTCAAAGCAAGTATTTGAAAACAATACCGTTATCGTCTCTGTGAAAAAAAAAAAAAAAAAAATTTGTGAAAGCGGGGACATCATGCCGATGAGTAATTTGTGTTCAGTCGGCGCGTAGTGTTTCATTACACGTTCCTTGACATCGCCAACTACTGGCCTGGCATGCATATGCATATTTCTACCATCATTTGGTGCCCAATGACAATTTTAGCACATTGAGTAGTTCAAGTTATGTTTTACTCTCACAGTAAACGTATGGGACATGGCTTTTTTTTCTCCAGATTTTTCAGGCATGTTCTAAAATGCGACCCGGAACATGACAGTCATGACCCGGAAACATTCCATTTTGTTTGATTATTGCATTTAATATCTTCACACAATACCACCCTTCACACAAATGTCAAGGTTGTTCCTCCAGTTTGGCCAAATGTCACTAAAATTTATTCTAACATTGACTTTTGTGGGAGGTTTGTGTGGGAACAATCACTGGATTTAATCAAATTGTTTTGCAGGGCTGAAATCTTCATTTTGTGCTTCTCTGATTTAGCATTTTGCATCAGTGTCTATTTTGTGCACCCAATGTGGATATGCTGACACAAGTAAACATGTCAGCTGTACGATGCACTGCAACTTGACCAAAAATGATGCTAGAATAGCAATGTGTATTTTTACTTTGGGCTGAACTTTACTATTCAACTGGTTTAATTTATCACCTGAAAACACGACACTCTGAACCGCATACCAAGTTCAGTTTCCCACTGACCCAAGTTGAATTAACATTACAATGTTTAATGCAAATAATAATCATTGTAAATAATGAATTGACTTCTGCAGTGTATTATATCGTTTTGCTCTGTAATCTAATGCATATAACTAAAGAAACCCTGTGAAAAGACAATGGATTCTGATAAAGTGGCATCAATGCATGATTTGGCACAAACGTCCACACATGTCCCATCATAACAAGGCATTGCTGTCGTCATCTCTGCTGTGTGTTTGCCTTGTTTGAGCCAGCGGCTGGTGCCTCAGTGACTTGCTGCTCCACTTGTGGGCATCCTGAAGACCCGGCTCCAGAAAATACAGACACGCTCCAAAACCAGCCAGGACCAGGACTGAGACCAGCAGATAGACGGGGACGAACCAGTCCAGAAACATCCAAGACATCGTGTTGTCTCAAAAGTATAGAACGAGAGAAATGGATAAAATGAGAACACACCTGTGCACTGCAGTATATGAAACATTGCATGATCCACGTGTAAATATATAGGTAAAGTCCCTCATTCTTAACAGTGCAGCAGATTCTGTCTTATTATTTTCACTTTACTCTGCAGTACGTGTGTATGAAGTACAATGAAGATGAAGTAGCCTACACTAATAAGTACAGCATGCTATAAGGCTCTACAGCACATTTGCATCATGTGTCTCCACATACCTGCAGTCTTTCTCTGATCGTCTGTGAACTGGCACTGTAGTTTGGGGTTTAAATGGTTAAACCCAGGCTGAGCGGATAGAACCGTTTTAGTGAAAATGCTGAATAATAAAGCCAAATGATGGCTGATGCCACTACATGGACGAATATATTATTATTTTATTCGACGCTGTGGCATGAGGGTTTCTCACACTCTTGCTTTCGTGCTCTCCTTGTCAAAGCTGTGCCATCCAGTTAGGAAAGGGGGGGTGGGAGGGTAACCATGGAGACGTCTGTGACGAGGAAAGGGTCAGAGCAGAAGTTACATAAATTTTTTTTTTTAACCCTTTCTTTTCAATCTTCGATCTCCCGTTTTACTGGTCATTTCAGGTCAAACTGGAACATGGCAGATATTATAGGAAATCCGAGGTTTTAGGGAGGACGTTGTGTTGTATAGATGTTTTCAAATTCCTGAAAGGGTTCAAAATAACCCACAGCATCATTTGTCCTGCATTACTCACTCGCATGTTGTTTTAAACCCGTATGGCTTTTCCTCCATAGAACACAAAAGGAGAAATTCAACAAAATGTTCATGCTGCTCTTTTACATACAATGATAATGACCTGGGCCCGTATTCCTAAAGAATCTTAATGTAAAAAGTAGCTCCTAGTGACAAAATTCTAAGAAAATTCTTAGAAATGTGGGCGTTTACTCTTAAAATTAAAGAAAAAATCCTAGTAAAGAAAAAAGTAATTCAGAAAGCATCTTAACCCTTAAAAGAGGTCTTAAGGTCAAAATTGTTAGGAGTATGGATGAGGACTTTTAAGAGGCTTAAGAGTTTCTTTAGCAGAGGAGAAAATGACAGAACGATGAAGAGGGAGAAGAAATGTGATGCAGACAATAGATGACGACAGTGAGTTAATAAGACGCTATAGATGAGATTGTGCAGTGATCATGTTTGTGACTGATCTTATTAGAGACACGCTAATATCTCCGACACAGCGCAGGAATGCCATAACGCCAGAAATGATCACTACATTAAGATATTTGGCAAATGGGAAAATGCAATAAAGCAATAGTGATTTGGGTCTGTGACAACCTTCTGTAAGCAGTGATCACACAAACATTACAGCACTTTCAGAACCTCTTATTGTGTCGCAGTTCATTTAGTTTCCACTGGACATTCCCACCTTGCAGGCTCAAAAAACTGTATTTATGAATATAGCAGGCTTCCCCTGGTGCGCACAAGCAGGGGAATGAACCGTTAATAATGTGCGCTATAAGCTCCCACGTCCGCTTCTCGCTCCATGCTGTGACACCCTGCCCGAATTTTCCTTTAAGGACGGCCTAGTGTTCATCCACTAACTCGGCTAACAGTAAACACGGTTCTTCTGACCAGTCAGGCTTTCTCGTCTTTCTTGTTTTTTAATCCATGTTTTCAAAACAAACATTCAAACCACCACTTAAATAGACAGCAATCAGTGTAATTGGAAAGAGTGGAACAATTTTTATCATTCTAAGCCAATCAAATTAACAGCAAGGTAAAAAAAAGGATTTATATACATAAATATAATGTGCGTGTGTGTGTGAGTAAACTCTATACTTAAAATGGCTCTTTTTTTTCCTTCTTGGACAACCAACCAATCACAGTCTTCAAAAGATTGTGTCATACATAGCAACGGGGTCAGCCCCGCCTCCTCACTAAGATGAGAGTTTTTGTCTTTTCCTAACTCAGAGTTGCTCTCAGATCGGTCCCGAATCACTCTTAAGCTAAGACTCCTACGTAAAAGTTTTTAAGCTAAATTAAGAGTTTTCTAAAAGGATTCTTAGATTCTTTAGGAATACGGGCCCTGGTACATTACAATCGAAGCTGTAAAAATAACAAAAAAATCATAAAAGCGGTTCATGTGATGTACTATTACAGAATATTATGCTATATATATATACTAAAGCTCTCAAATTTCAGTTATGAGATTACAACATGTCATGATCTGTAATGAGACCATTCACATTCATTGTAAGGAAACACAAAGGATATTTTGAAGAATGTTCGTAACTGTTATCACTTTTTTAAATCTTTAATACAGTAAAAATACAACTGTTCATTTTTAGTGCATGGTTCCCAATGTCTTCAACTGCATGGACCAAAAAATAGAAGAAATAGAATTACAATAGAAGACCATGGAAACAGAAATTGTTTGATTATTAACATTCTTCAAAATATCTTCTTTCATGTTAAATAGAACAAAGAAAGTCATACAGGTTTGGAATGATGTGAGTAAATTATAAATTTTAATTTTTAGTTGGTCTATCCATTTGAACAGCTCCTTTTTTTTTGGTCTATGAAAGAATGAATATCATACAGATTTGAGGGTAAAACATGAATGACACTTCCCAGACTAATGTTCCTATTATGTAATATTTCTTGTGCGCACACATACCCACGCATGCACACACACGTACACACACACACACACACACACTTGGGAGCTGATGCGTTACTCTTTAAGTCTTAATAGCTTGAGGTAAGCAATGCTTGGCTGAATAAACATAAAGCAGATTCTTAAACACAAGCACACACAACTATAATCTCATCACAATAACGCCCATTACACAGTTGTTGGCTTTCAGAGTATCATGCAATTGATAGTCTCAAATGTAAGGCAAAACTGAGCAGTGCTGACCTATATATGAGCACAAGGCAAACGCAAGATGTGCAGCTTTCAGCAAAGCCTGAAGGAAATCAAACTCGCATACATTTACAACAAATCTGCACATTCACAATTACAACTGATGCAAACACAACAGCAGTGGCCCAAGAAAGTATATGTACACTTAAAAAATGTCACATCTAGAAGTGCCTGAATTTCAGTGATGATAAAATGTCACACCAAGTGGCTTTTTTTCAGACCCAATTTCAATATTTCTGCAATTATTTTTAACCAACTGGTGGCACAGTGATGGATATAAAGTGAGTTGCCCTTAACTTAAAGGGATAGTTTACTCAAAATGTTGTCATCATTTACTCACCCTCATGTTGTTCCAAACCTGTACAAGTTTCTTCTGGTGAACACAAAAGAAGATATTTTAAAGAGTGTTTTTTTACAGACAGTTGATGGACCCCATTGACTTCCATAGTATTTTCCCCTACTGTGGAAGTCAATGGGGTCCATCAACTGTCTGTAAAAAAACACTATTCAAAATATCTTCTTTTGTGTTCAGCAGAAGGAAACTCGGGTTTGGAACAACATGAGTAAATGATGATAGAATTTTTATTTTTTGGGGGAACTATCCCTTTAACACAGGCGTAGTTCGTCATATTAACTCACCGCAACAATGTTTGACAATAAATTATTTTTGAAACCCAACAATCTTCTTTTTGTGAAATGCTTTGCCTGAAAGTGTGTGTAATATATTTCTTAAGATTACATTTTTTTTTTTTAATTTATTTAGCAAGGACGCATTAAATTTAGCAAAGACATTTATAACTTTCTATTAAATCAAAGAATCCTGAAAAAAAAAGATGTATCATGGTTTTCATAAAAATATTAAGCAAGAACAACTGTTTTCAACATATAATAATAGCATGTTAGAATGATTTCTGAAGGAATAAACATAGGATAACAATTATAACAACAACATAACAACATGATAACAGTGTCAGATGATAACAACATGAGTAAATGATGACAGAATTTTTTTTTTTGGAGTGAACTATCCCTTTAACACAGGCGTAGTTCGTCACATTAACTCACCGCAGACTTCTACACTATTTCTATAGTAGAGCTTTGATATGTCCCGCGCATCCAACGGCCTAATTTATTGTGTTAGACATATAATTACTTATAATGAAGTCAGAATAATGGCACATAGTCAAACTATTTTTTTTACATTTTGTTACCAGCTCAGCAGCTTTAAACTTAAATTTAATTTTCATTTCCACAAAATACAGAAAGTCATAAACAAAGGTATTCACACCCTTAACCAACTCCATAGAACACTGGCCTTTATGGGAAGGCCAAAACATTTAGCCAAAATTCAAAGCAATGTATTTTGCTAAATTAATACTGTGAATCCGCACCTCAAAAAGCACCGTGAGGTGAGAACTGGAAGACGAATGGATGAATGGAGTGCAAAATACTGCAAATGTTCAGAAGGCTTATGAGAAAATAAATCTAAAGTTTGTTATGCTTTAAAAAAGTATCATAGTATAACGCAAAATAACGAGAATTGGTTAATGATGTGAAACTTTGAATGATGTGTATACTGCATTATTGGAATCTGTGTTATAATTTCGATGTTTGGTTGTTGTCAAATTCACTTTCTGTTTTGTCAGGACTGTGTGACTGAAGAAAATCAGTGATTATGGAGGCCACAGACTCAGGTTTGTTGAGGTGAATGTGATGGTCTCCTTCTATGTCAAGAATGGTGGCCTGTAGAGGAGCGAGAAAGATATATTTGTACATACTGCTATTCCAGACATGCATTTTCATTCATTTTTGTGTGTATGTATCTCACTTTTTGATCAGTCCAGCTCTTCCGAATCATATCACTATATCCATTAGGTAGAGTAAACGTTTTGAACAGACCCTCATTTGCCCTGAAGAAAGAAACAAATGCAGTCTGATAGTGTATGTATCTCTGATAGTGTGTGGATAAACAGTATTTTTTAACAGTACCGGTAGTCCCAAATGCTTTGGGCACTAAAGCCTCACTTACGGACATTTATCCATCAGCTGTTCACAGATGCCACTTGGTAGAGCTGCACGATACTGGATCAATTGACAATCACGATTTTTTTTTGTATAAAAAACGATTCTCCCACGATTTTGAACAGACAACCAAACAAAATAACGTGTCATTTACTAGAGGTTCTGACCAAATGTTAATTGCTGGAGTCTATTTTAAAATCAATTTGAATGGAAGATTCAATGACTCACTCATAGACTTCACTTGTTTCAATACTGGATGAATCAGCGTTTTTGAATGAATCTCTTGAATGACTGATTCAATGACAAATAAAAACAATTTAACAGTCACTTGTCGCCACCTACTGGTGTAACGATGTAATAGATACGATAGTTATTTGAAGTGCCAAGTTACTTTTAAAAAGGTCATTTGCTCTATTTCGCTTCCATAGAGTGTTAATATCCAAACTATTTGAATATTTGCAACACGCAAATAACAATAATTTGTGGTTGAAAAGGTCGTTTCCTACCTAGATAGATAGATTTGAATGTTCCTTTGTGATTTTGTCAAAGGATTAATAGATACGGGCGATTCGTTTTTATTTAGGAATGAGATTGTGTGGGTGTTTGAATCGAGATAGCGATTTTTTAATGATTAATCGTGCAGCTCTACCACTTGGTTTAAATATCTCATTATTTAGTACAGTGACATTCAGGCATTTTGTGTAACTTAACTGTCCAGATACTTTTTGGGGCTACTATATTTCACATAGCAAAATATTATTCATACTTTACTTTATAATGTTGTGAGGCCTAAATTTAACCTGTAGGATTTAAAATGACTTTTTATTTTGTAAATCATTTAACATCTGCAAATTATTGGTTTCTGGCCATAACATAAAACTAATTATTATCCTATTAGTACTGGACAGAAATGTAATAGTAATGGTGCATCCCTAATTTTGAGCATTGTGCATAACAGTATTTCTCATGAATACTATGAAAACTTGTGTGTGTGTGTGTGTGTGAATTGGACTCACAGCAGTAGCATCACTCTGGCTTTAACTAGTGACAGCAAGTAGAGGCACTGTTGCATATTATTATTTACAATGTTTTTCTAAAAAAAACAAAAACAAATATCACCAGAAAAAGTTAGATCACATTAATCATGATGTGTATAGCGTACATTTCCACATATTCCTTCATAAACAAGACATCTGTAAAGCAGAAAACATGATGAAAAGGTAATAAACTATATGATAATGAGATGTTTGGGCAGCTCTGTCACAGATTAATGTGGGTTAAATAGTAGAACAAAGGCTGAAATCTTGTTATCTGGAATACACAAACAACAATATGTTGAAATGCCTCACCAGGTTGATCCTGAAGTCTCTGGTAAATATAAATCCTTTAAGAGAAAGGAAGTCATTTAGAGAGCTTGATATAATAAACTGTTTTGTCTGAGCAAAATCTATGAGAAAGTTTAGGAGTGAGTGTTGCATGTCTTACCTCCCTCAACCTCTCTGACTGCTCGCTCCAACAGAATATCTGCAGACTGATCGCACAGGGAGGGGTTTGCAACCTTCAACCTGAAAGACAATAATAAAAACGTGTCTATATATATATATATATATATATATATATATATATATATATATATAATACATTACAATTCACGTAGGGTCAGTACAACTTTTAAAAAAGGAAATACTTTTATTCGGCAAGGATGCATTAAATTGATCAAAAGTGACAGTAAAAACATTTCAAATGTTGGTATGTTACAAAAGATTTCAATTTCTATTTCAAATTCTATTTAAATTAATCAAAGAATACTGAAAAGATTTCTGAAGGATCATGTGACACTGAAGATTCGAGTGATGATGCTCAAAATTCAGCTTAGTATCACAGGAAAAATGACATTTTAAAATGTATTCAAATAGAAAACACTTATTTTAAATTGTTATAATATTAGACAATATTACTGTTTTTACTATACTTTGATCAAATAAGTGCAGCCTTGGTGAGCGTAAGAGACTTTAATATATATCAATATGAGGTGGACATGACAAAACTAAACTTAAAATGGCAAAAATTTTGTTAAAGAGGAATGAGAATGAGATGAGACCTTAAAATGTGGCAAAGCTTGCGTATTGAAACTCAACAGTAAACAACAACATTCATGTTTACAGTAGTTACAGACAAACATATATATCACATGACATCAGGCATTCTTCACCTTTCTTTGGCTTTCTCGTACGTGTACACCTTCTCTTTCCTTTCACCCATCTTGTTGTCATAATGGATTTGATCATTTATCCCTTTTCTCATGTTTTTAAACATGTCAGTCTAGGGAAGGACAAATAAACATTTATGTGGCATGCATGTTGAACAAGGAGTCTTCTCTATGTTTACAGACAGCAACTCTAACATGCTCCATTTATTCTTACCACTTCTGTCGGGAGAAATCCATAAGTATCCAAGAGAACTACGTCTTCAACCATCTCTGGGTACAACGCGCTAAACTGGAAAACCAGAGGAAACTCATTACATTTACACAGCACAGTGACAGTCCTAATACATCGGTTCTCAGCGGTTGCAAAAATCAAAATTGTACCCGTTCATCAATGACCTCAAAATGTTAATAATATTATTACAGCTCATAGTAATATTAACACATGTAAAGACATAATAAAATGCATCCTTTTAGTACTGTAATAGGTTGTCCCTTTATGTGAAATGTAAAATCTGGGTCATGAAGCAAGTTGAGAACTACTCTACTAAACAACTCATTTACATAAATAGAAAAGCACTATGATGGATACTCACTATTCCTGCCACATTACCACCTGTTAAAGAAACAAAATCAGTTTAATAAAATATCAAATTATGGTAAATGGACAAATACTTAATCCAGATAAAAAAATATATATTTACACTAATTTGACATTTTGAATATCATAAATATGTGTTACTTATAAGTTATTTGTGAATGATGATAGAGCTTTACTGCTTTTTTTATAATTTCATTTATATTTCAGTGTTATCCAGTACTCAAGATTATTAATGTGGTTATTATATATATATATATATTTACAGGTTTGTGAATGTATTCACTCTGTATTAACCCTCATGTTGTGTTGAGCCGGAGAAGATTTTCTTTTTTTTCTTTCTGGGAACTAATATTACAGGAACTCAACAACATGGATCATCCTCTGGCATGAATAAGGATGACGTTTAAAGCACCAGCAGGGATGCTATAAATAAGTACAGTAGTATGGCATTACGAAATCAGACTTGTGGCATTCATCCCACAGTGTCCTTCTAATGCCCTCATGATCCACGACAATATAGTTATATCACAGAAGATGATATAACAGCAACACAATAATATTGCTCATCTTCAGCTAATTTACAGTTTACATAGATCTCCCGACCTTTCACACACTAAAGAGAACTTTGACCTCTGTCAGTAGATGAGTAAAAGAGTTGACTCACCCATACTATGTCCAATTATAGAGAATCGCTTCCACTGAAGAGCTATGAACAAATGGTGACAAAAAATACAAATATAGTTAATTCGTTTTTTGCCTTGTTTTCCAGTACAAATAACTAAGAATTCTAAGAACAAGATATATTTACTTTAGAAGCAACAATACATACGATATTAAGACTTGTTTTCATAGGTTGTATCTAGAATGCAAATGTATTTTGTCTTTCTGTAATAGCAGTAAATATTGCCAAACTTGCTAATGGGTAAAACAAGAAAAAAATATATATGCCAGTGCAGAAAGAATAAATACGCTCTCACAATTCAGGACACCTTCTCTGAAAACAAGTTTTGCATTTATTTTGTTTACAAAGATTTTTTAAAATATTTTAACTGGAAAATAAGGCAAAAATACTCATTTTACGTTATTCTTTTTTGTTTTGAGGATGATTCATTAACGGTTTGTAACAAAGGCCCAAGTAGCTTCAAACCTTCTACAACTCGCCGAACATCTGCCACATACAAAGGGAACGTGTAAAAGCATCCATCAGGCCTATGAGACGAGAAGCCATGACCTGGAAGATCAATGGCTACGAATCTCCAGTCTGGGAGAGAGATGTGGAGAAAAAGAAAAAACGAGAGAACGAGAACCACGGTCACTTCATTGACGCTTGTAAATGAAGTATGCAAGAATGAATTTATTAATGTGGATCTTTATAATGTTCATGAATCCTCTGGAATCCAATACTAATACCTTTAGGAAGCAATGGAATCAGGGTATTGAACGATCCGCTGTTGTCAGCCCAACCGTGCAAACACAGCACGGGACGACCATGAGAAGGACCCCAAACCTGACCTCTCATCTCTCCCCATGGGACTGTCATTCGGAACTCAGACGCTGTGTGTCAAAGTACAGAAGAGTCATAATCAGTTAAATCATAAGCATGCACATTAGTGAACACATGCTCCATAAATGTATTGAAAAGTTCATTTTGAAGCAGCTATGATGAATGTTAACCAATAGTAATAAAAAATGTTACACTTTATTTGGTAACACTTTATTTTACAGTGTCCTTGTTACATATGTTACATGTACTTATCATAGTAAATAACAGTATATTATGCATAATTACGTGCAACTAACCATCAAATCCTACTCCTACCCTAACCCTAAAGTAAGTACATGTAGTTGTTTTATATTACCCAGTACTTAAATATATAATTACACTGTAACAATGACACTTTAAAATAAAGTGTAACTCTATATTTCACGTCGACGTAGTTACATTGTACTTATTCAAATAAATACTACAGAGTAATATTTATTAACTACTTACTGTAGAGTTACGGTTAGGGCTAGTTACTTGAAATAATTATGCACAATTTACTAGTAAGTACATAGTAGTGTTGCCGTAAAAAAAGGCTGTTTCTTACCCGCTCTCCTCATCGTAGTTGTGCCAAAGTGTCTGAGACTCGTGAACGCAGAAATCATTCTCACACCTTGCAGTGCAGTTTAAACCCCCTTACGTGAGAGGGAGAAGCTGATGTTTATTCGAAAAATACACTTTTAAAATGTTTGAAAGGTAACCTATCTTCCACCTTATTCATTTGAACATGACATGCATAAAGAAAAAAAAAGTTTTCGGATGAAGAATAAAATAATTTTACATGTCTGAATAACTCGAACATTTTTACATGTACTATATAAAATTATAATAAAAATGCATGTATATAAAACACATTTTAATTGTAAAGTCCTGTTTTCCAAATGAATTGCAAACTTACATCGAGGGATATAAATCGGCTGTGAGTGTGAGCAAAGCGCATCCTGGCCAGTGACCTTAGAGTGATGATTTCAAAATAAAAGTCGTTTCCACTGAACGAACATTTCGTAAAAAAAGTCCAAATGACAAATTAAAATAAAAAACAAACAATACATTTTCAAAACTTGTAACTAGTTTACCACTACAAAACACAGCTATATCTCGCAAATTCATTACTATTTCCCGTCCTACTTTTATATTGAAAATATCCGGTTACAATGACATTTTTACTAATCGTGGCTTCACGCATCCGGAACTGAAACAAAACATCAGGTAAACGCCACTGAGCAACGAAATACGCTGTAATTGTTATAGCTGCTTATCATTTCGTATAATTTATTTTCTGGAGATGCTATGCTCTGCGTAGTACATTCAGCACCTATATATTCAGGAAAACCCATAATGTAACCAGAGGCAAACGATTAACGTTTGACTCTCTGTACCAGAGCAACGATGAATGACATTCTGACAGTTCAACTCTTTCTATGCATTCGTACATATTTACAAATTACAATGCGCTGATTTATAACACAAACTATCATTGTATTCCAGGGCTCAGGCACTTTCATTCTTTCATTCAAAATTCAATTCAAATTCGGTGTGGACGGAATGGAGGTCCGCTTCACGCGAGGCAAATCTGCGATCCTCGAGCGCTCGATCACGCGTCCTAAAACGGAGGTGAGCGTGAGTGCGTTTGCGCTGCTGTTCTCCGAGATGGTGCAGTACTGCCAGAGCCGGGTGTACTCGGTGTCTGAGCTCCAGGCCCGGCTGGCTGACATGGGTCAAGGTGTGGGAGCCAGTCTTCTCGATGTTCTTGTGATGAGGGAGAAAAATGGGAAAAGAGAAACCAAAGTATTAAACATACTTCTCTTTATTAAGGTATTACTTTTATTTTGTTTACAGATTGCAGATCATTTTGGTTTAAGCATTGAAAATTCTGTTATTATTAGTTACGCACTCTCACATTTGTTCATCTTTGAAACACAAACTAACAAGACTTCTGTCCATCCAATGAAAGTCTATTCACCCAAAACTGTCACTTTAAAATTATCGTAAAAGAAATCCGTATGGATCCAAGTCTTCTGAAGAGAAACGATCACTTTATATGATGAACAGATTTAATTTAAGCTTTTATTCACATATAAACATTGATCAGCAAACATACATAGAGGCAGGGCTTGACATTAACTTTTTTGCTCACCATCCTCTGTGACTAGCCACTCAGCATTTTCACTGGCCACAATTTTGACATCGATACCATGGGGGGAAAATGCCATATACACATTTTTAATATTATCTCATAATTTGGCAGCAGGTATATTAGGGTGCTGTCACTTTAAGACCTGACGCACAGCTCCATTATACTATTACACATGCGTTATCTTTCTCATCTGTTTACGTTTACTTAAAACATAACTGTTTACGTGAATACACGCCAAGACCGGCATCATTTTGTGTATATTTGATATACACAAAATTGGTGTATCACGCGCACTTTGTGTGCGAGTGAGCACAAAATATGTGGGAATGAGTAAAATGATGTGCAATCCCATGGCGAAATTCAACCCCATTTACACCAGCAATATTCATTCAGAGCAAATGAAACGAGTGAGTGAGGGGAGGCGGGTTTAAATGTGTGTCAACTCACTGTCGAAGATATGAGAGGGCGAAAAAGCGCAGCTTGTATCCTGTATTCTGTGGAAAATTTGTATTTGAAATGTTTCAGATATGTATCGAAAAATCAATATTTTTGACAACACTACATTGCACTTAGTATATTATTTCAGATGCCTTTTTAAAAGACTACAATTGAAAAATGTATATATATAAATAAATAAAATTCAACCCGGCAAAGTGGCTAGTAGGAGTGACTGCGTTACACGCCACTGCTGAAATCCGTTAATGTCACTCCCTGCATAGAGCACTCAAATATGGTAAGCGTAAGCTCAATTGTATACTTGCCTGACCCGCAAGAACAAACCTCATTGGTACTGGCATGACCAGCAAGCATCATTGAGCTTCCGTTTACCAAATTTAAGTGCTCTGCTCTATGCACGTTCGCTGACCCGTGTTTATATGTAAATTCACGGTTTCTTAATTTTTGTTCCGAAGATGAACGAAAGTTCTGGTTTTAGAACGACAACAGGGGTGAGTAGTTGATGAAGGACCCTTTAACTTTCTTTCTTTCTTACTTTTCTCCTAGGTAAATGTGTGGAAATCTTTGTTTGGCAAGGAGGCAGACAAACTGGAACAAGCCAACGACGATGACAAAACATACTACATCATCGAAAAGGAGCCTCTGATCAATGCCTACATATCAGTACCTAAGGAGAATAGCACTTTAAACTGTGCGGCCTTCACTGGTGGCATTGTGGAGGCTATCTTAACCCACAGTGGCTTCCCAGCTAAAGTCACGGTCCACTGGCATAAGGGAACCACACTGATGATCAAGTTTGATGAGGCAGTCATTGCTCGAGATAAAGCTCTTGATGGGAGATAGCAGATTGCTTTGCACATCAGAATCAAGTCTCAAGGTTTACCCTTGAGTCTGGTGTCTCAATAGGATTTAAGTTGAATTGATTGTTTTTTCATTCATTTTTATAGCTAACAAATTCACTGCATCTAGCACCCATCTCAAATAACTTCAAGCCTGTATCTGGCTCTCTTGCTTTATTAATGATGTTGCAGAATATAGATGAGGACAAACCACATCAGCACAGTCACCTCACTAGTCCAATCCCGTGTAAAAAATAATGTCTTTACTGATACACTAATGCAGTAAAGGGTTATACAGTTCTCTGTATGAAGTTCTTAATCTTTGGATGTCTATTTTGCATATGTACTAAAACAAAGCATGAATAAATTGTTGTAATTAATCAATTAAATCAGAATTTAATAGATTGTTAGGTTTGGATCTCATTGAGTTGTTGAGTATAAGATGTGCCGGACAGCACATTACTGCACAGATATTGCGTGAAAAAAAGAAAAGAAAAGTCAAATGACCCTTTAACCGTTTAGTTTTCCAAAATTTTGCAGACAATGTTCATATGGCAAAATTAAATATGTATATGAAGTTTTATTTACAGCATTAATTACATTTGGACTTCTTGATCATTTTTGTATTATAGACGATTGATCTATGTATGTGTATGTTTCATTTGTTCACATGTTCTTTCATTGTCCTACAATATAATAAAGTCTTTGTAAATTGCAAGAAGAGATCGGGAAATACTGTCCCTTGCATAAATGTTCCATATTAACCACAGTTTGTGCCTAAACACTTAAACACTACAGTAGTTGCAATAGTTAATATCTCAACATGACAATGATTATTATTAATACTATTACGGTAACATTTTGTCTGTTTGTTTTTGATGAGGACTGGTGGCTAACACTAGTTACAGCAGTTTTATTACAGTAGCAATAACTAGTAAATGGTAGTTTTTATCAGGACCTGGATTTAGCAGTTGTGTGTAATCAATCATGGCCTTTGGTAGTGCTTGTGACTTGATTTCTTGTAAATGGTGTCATGTTGTAAAAATCATCGTGACGTGAACTATTCCCAAATTAGTCATATGTTTTGCCTCACATTAATTCTTGATTACTGGGACAACACTGAAATATAACACAAATCTTTCAAACATCTTTAGAGGTATATTTAAGCTATGTGTGGGTGCTGCCTCCTGCTTCAAAGTTCTCAAAAACAAAAATATATATATATATATATACTGTTTATACGACCAAGTTTTGGCAGTGACATACATTGTATTTGTAGATTATTGCTTGATCACTTGCCTTTTGAGGACTGACCTCATGTTTGCTATGGGATTAAGATTCGGAGACTTGCCTGGCCACAGATCCAAAATTTATATGTAATGATCTCTGAGTCATTTCATGATCACTCTCGCCTTGTGACATGGTGACAAATTGCTCCTGGACTGTTGGGAGAAGTTGCTCTTGCAGGACGTTTTGATACCATTCTTTATTTAATGTTTTTGGGCAGAATTGTGAGAGACCCCACACATGGATGTTCTCAGAATGCTTCGCTGTTGGCATGACACAGGACTCAAGGTAGCATTCACCTTTTCTTCTTCAGACAAAGAAGAAGTGGTTTCTTTTCTGGCCTTCTTGACACCAGGCCATTGTCCAAATGTCTTTGCTTCACTGTGCGTGCAGGTGCATCACACCCCCCTGCTGCCAATATTGAGCAAGCTCTGCACTAGTGGTGACACGATTCCATATCTGACTCTTCAGGAGGAGACTGTGACTGTCCTGGAGCTCGCTGCACACTCGGTTTACATCCTAAAGCCTTCTTCACTCCAACTGAACCTCTCTCCTTGCAGAAAAAATATTCGTGCAGCAATTCCCTTGCATGTGAGTCCATTTTGAAGCAACGATGGCTGCATTTCTTTGGAGGTAACCATTGCTAAAACAAGAAAACAATGACTGGAAACACTTCCCTCCTTTTATAGCTTGCATGCCCTTATAATCCAATCAGAATAATAGAGAGATTTTACCTGACAAGTATTTTTTTCACACTTTCCTAAGTGCCAAAAGATGATTACTGGAATCTCGTTAGCTGGTCATTTTGTGCCAGGGCCAAAAAAACAGTGAAAATTAGTTTTTTTGTGAAAAAAGTTACATTTTTTGGCCCATGAAACTTTTTGCAATTATTTGAAATGCATATGATCACTCTGCACAATAGTCTAGAAACGTGAATCAACACCGCAGCAAAACACAAAATGTATGTCACTGCCAATTCTTTTGGCCACAGATCTGTGTATATAGCCTAACCTACATTACATATATCATTCACCTCAGAAAAATAAATGAATTATGACAGCATGGTTTCAAACTGATTTTCAACTTCATTCATCTATTGAATCACCTCAAAAAAAACGTCAGAATGACCATGTTTTCCGCATCATATGAAATAAAGTAAACATTTTTTGGGGAGTTGCTTGCTAGCCTATTTAAAATAAGAAAATTTGAGAAAGGGATTCCAAACAAATTTGCACATTTTTGTGACAGAGTTAAAATAATAAGAAGCTCAGAACTTATAAAACATAAGACATCTGTACACACACACACACACACACACACACACACAGAAAGTTTTATGGCATCTCAGCAGCGTCCGGCAGCGTCAGATTGTCACATGATGTTGTCACATGACCTCAAGCATCGGAAGTTCTGTGCTGCTCGAGTCGCGAATCGCGAGTGCTTGTAAACATGAGGTAACCGGAGAAGAACCCGTCAAATAACTACAGAGGAACAAAAAAGCCTGTTGAACATAATCAGATCCTATTGTGATGTGAATTAACCGGGGATTTTAATGCCGACAGTCTCTGCACGTGATTTTAAATCGCCGACATGGCCGCAGTGGACGCGAATAAAGTCAACATTTCCTCCGGTGAGTGATCGGCTGTATAATGCATGTGATGTTTTAAAGCGTCAGTGAGGTGTTATTACAGGAAGAACGGATCTACCACTGAATTTTTATGAGGTGGAATACAAAATAGTGATTTTATTATTATTTTTTGTGTTGTTGTGCTTGTGTAATGTATATGCTTTGCACAGAAGTAACTTAAGATGCACAAGAAAATTTAAATGTCAAAGTTTGTTGATCACGGTCACGAGCGCAGGATAACACTGTTAGTGCTGTTTTAGTCTATTTGACGTTTGGTGGAATATCTTGTGGTTTGGATGATTCACAAGGTCGGATAGACTGCTGTGTTAGTGGATAATTAATGTATGCGATGTGTTTTCCACTTGCTTGTTTTCGTTTTTTCTTCCTCATTCGTGTTCCATTATTTCTGTAGTTACACCATAATACAGAGCCCTGATGTTGTGTTTATGTGGTCGTAAATCACAACACTACACCTGTTTTCATTTTCATTTCACTCAGTTTTTAATGACCATAAAAATCATCTAAACCTGATCTGCTCAAGACTCAGTGATATGTCTTGGGAGTTGTAGATTGGAGGACACTAGATTTGAAACTGTTTTTATACCACAGCTTTGTTGAGTTCTTCATTTTGATGGGCTGACAGACGTTCCCAAGGTCCTATTGCACATTTTTGTTATCCATTAGGTATGAAACATTCTGCCACAGTATTGGTTGGCCACCAAAATTTCAGGGCCAAAAAGTAATTCAAGGTTTGTTGACCAAAATACTGCTCCATATCACTTTCCATACTAATAATAACAGTGAATTTGAATGTTCTTACGTAAGCATAAAATAAACATTTTCATGTATTTGCTTTCATGATTTTATCTTCTTAATGCATGTTCCTAGTCTTTGTGAAAGAGTCATCTGTGCATGTTATTCCAAAGGATTTTTGTAAGGGAATACAAAAGGAAATTTAAATTTAGTCTAAGTCTGTTCTACAATGTAACACCCACTTTTCAACATCCAATGAACACCCACTTTTCAACACCCCCCCCCCCCCCCCCCCCCCCCTGCCAATTATGGTTTTACTCAAAAATAGATAAAATACAAAAGCAAAATGGGTTGCTATGCTAACATCAATTCACATTGACTACAAAATTTATAATCAGTTGCAAAAGGGTCTGTTCACACAGATCACCTTTTTGCATCCAAACCTACTGCTTGTTCATTGTAAAACATGCGCTAGACGGAGAAGTTTTTTTTTTTTTTTACGCAAAAGCGCAGTCTTTGTAAATGTCTGTGTGGAAAAGTAGTTCTACACACAAGCGACATATCTAATTTATAATTTATTCATTTATATATAATTTATTCATGTTTTTTTTTCTAGTGATGCATTAAAAGGAATTTTGCACTTAAACACCAAAACCGAAATGCAACGAGTCAGCTCACGATTTTTCTGCCAAACAAATTTAAATATTGCTATTTTAGCATAGTTTGTGGTCACAGTAAAGTGCACACAGCTCCACACAGCTGACATGGCTTTTCCTAAAGTTGCTCGTCCACACTGAAACGTAAATTATTTTACTACGCATGCGTAAAACATAATCAAAGCTCACTGAGATGATACAGAGAAACCAGACATAATAAACACAAAACAATTTTTATAAACAAAATATTCCACTACTTAATGGCGCATCTAGGTCGCACTCAATCGCTATTCCATGTATGGTCTAAAACGCAATTGCCATCATGCTTTGCCGCAGGACAGCAATTGTAAGTAAATTTTCTGTCATATTTGCAGGAATGTTATATGAAGATTGTTCTTTGAAAGTGAATAGCACACATGCCGGTCTAACCATAGGTACAGTGTGCGTCACATGGCTAAACATGCATCTTCTTTTTCAAATACCTCCGTTTTCATAGTCCACACTACAACGTAAAAACAACCTTTTTAAATGTACCCACTTTACGGAGAATCTTCAAAATGCTTCAAAAAGTTTTCTCGGGACAAAAACGTGCAAAATCAGTGGACTGGTAGATTAATGTACACAGCCTTAAATGTCACTGTTTCAATCAGTGATTTCGGCCCTTCAAAACCATTCATCTCTTTTTCTGTTTTTGCCAAATATTTTCTGTTGCTGAAATTTTTGTGCATGACTAGTTTTTTCATAATATGTTGTTGTTTAACTTAGACATATAGATATAGATCACTTAGACATATAGATCTTGGCCACTCGTGTAGTACACGAACGAAAAAAGTTGATGCCGTGTGTGATAGGGTTATTATAACATGCTGATATTTACTTATGACAGCAAGAACGTGTGAGGAGCCATTGTACACGATCTATGAAAACACGCTGCAAAACAGGACGGATGAGATTTTTCTGTTTATTCTTTGCATTTGATTGACTCTATCGCTTGTAGACAAACACCAGTGCTCGTGAGAGACTTCAGACACTCATGAGTGTCACAATTTTGCTGTCAAGATTTTATCACTCCAATAGACTGCATTAAAAATCTTCCTGTTATACAGTAACAAAAATGTGATAAGGCAAGATTCCAGTGACACAGATCTGCTGCTAGATGAACAATGATGGTTTTGATTAGAGAGAGAGCAATGGGAGCCTATAGGAAGAGTTGCATAAATACTCTTAGTCTCTCTCCATTTTTTGCTTAATCATGCAGTGATCTGCAGGTCAGATGTTCAAGAGAGTAAAGAAATAGGGAAATCTCAGTTGCTCAATGTGGACGTTACAGGAACTTTACAGGAAATATTATGAGTGCATTTAGTCCGCCTATCTGTACTTTTCTGCTATGAAGTAATAAAACGGAGCTGTATGAAATTTCCCATTTGTCAGCACTGATGCGCTGCGATCAGTAATCTCATTTGAGTGGCTGACCCTCTTACTTTTGTATTTTACTTTCCTTTCAGTCTAGATTAGGTGTTGTCACTCTGGATTGTGATTTATGTGGTATTTATGAGGCATGAAAAAAGCTGTTCCACTAAATTTCCGTTACATGTGTTGGCATAAATGTGTGTGGTACATCTGAATATATCCGAATCTAAATAAAATCGAAATCGCGCAATATGGCTTAGTGCTAAAAATAAATCAAAATTTGCGGTCAAAATTAACACTGTTGGTGCACTGTAAACTTTTTTTTTTTTTTTGATATTTTTATTTAGTAGTAATATGATTAAATTATTATTATATTGTCATATATATATATATATATAATCACAATATTTTTTGCTAAATGGAGGTTATGCGCAGCAAACTTCCGTATTCTGTAGAACAGGTTGCATCGCTTCTGGTTCAGGTCTTTTGCCATTTTACTCAAGATACCTTCAAAGGAGCGAGCAAAGATGAGCATAATCGATGTCCATCACATGTGCATATCTAAAAGTGTTTTATTTTTGTTCTTCTCACTAATATTTAGATCAAATTAACTAGCTAGTTTAGCTGAAAAAGTTTGAAAAAGCTTAAAAGTCGGCGTCGTAACTTTCGTCGTAACGTTGTAACTCCGACAAGCGGATGCGGTAAGACCTGTGCTGCGTCCCACTTCGCATACTATCCGTCCTAAATAGTATTCGAAAATAGAATTAGTACGTCCCAAATCGTAGTATGTTGAAATGAGTGTTCCAAAGAGACCCGGATGGTCTACTATTTCCGGTCAGAATCCGAAGTGCAGATCGTTGCACACTCTAACGGCTGATATTGCCCACAACCCATCGCGCGTTGGACAAGGATTCGGTTAGAACTACAAACACGAATGAAAAGTGTTCAAAAACTACAGACATGGAGGACGCGTGAGTCCGACGGTTATGCAGAGAGGTTTAGATAAAGGGGTTTGAGTGATTAATTGTCAGTATCTAACCTGACGAAAATGTATTTATTCAATGTTGTCCACATTATATTGCATCTGCAGCATCATTGTGAACTTTTGCAAAGATATGTTTAGCCATTAACTTTTAAATGCATTATTATATTCAAAATCCAAACACACGAGGAGAGTCTCGGCATGAAAGACCCACGACTGGCAGATGAACGTGCTACAACATTTCTCTCCGAAACCGTAATAAGAAATTAACTTAGATTGAATGGAGGATTTAAACTGTGACGAGATGATTGACAGGGCAGTTTACGGTGACAGGACGCACGCAGCACGCGACAGATCTGTCCGTTAATGAAGACGAAGTAGTATGTCCCAAAGCTTGCCTACTCTTTTGCTACACACTCAAAAGTATGTACTTTTTCTTCACAAAAAGAGTACATACTTAAGGGCGTAGTATAAGTAGGGGAATTGGGACGCAGCACTGGTTTCCTGTTTGTTCATGTGACGTTCGGCATAAAACTTATTGTGCAGCCCTACAAACAAGCACAGCAGACCTTTTTTTTTGTGTGCAGATTTTAAATCACAAACACAATTTTTAGCAGAAAAGACACATTTATAGTATAATAGTAATAATTCTTCTCTCAATGATATTTGACCTGGCGTTTTCTTGGTAGCTAGCTTGTAGTCAAAATTGAGATAACTGGTCATTGTAGTAGAGCTACTGTGGAAATAACACAAGACTGAATGAATCACTTAGTGACTGAATGAAATTCACAGAATTGCTTTAGAAAGAACATGCTTATAAAGCCACCATTTCAAAAAGTCATATTTACTGTAGTTTCACACATAAAAATGCTTTTGGGAAGTGCTTAGTCAGTGATTTTTAAAAAGTGATATGGAAAAAGAAAGGAAGGAAGGAGCAAAGCAAAGACTATGTTTACAGAACAGGAAGTGCATCAGCAAGCAACATTGACACTTTTTCATTGTAAGAAATGAAGATAAAAAGATTAGAGGCCACACACACAGAGACAAAATTCAACATTCATTCACAAACCAGCCAGGCTACTTGAAAGACGTGTCCTTGACAAGCTAACTAAGCTAACCAGCCTTAAGGCCCTTTCACATGACTTGCACCACCACGCGATGGAGTGAAACATCGAGATTTGCTGCCTGCAAGTCAAGCGTTGTAATGCGATGATCAAAGTTCTGATAAATTCGACAATTCACTTCATTACAATACAAGGGCAGTGCACAGAATTCATAGGATAAAGTCAAGTCGTACAGAAAGTAAGTTTTGGTGTTCCCGTTTTACTTCCCTGCTACCTGGCAACCACATAAATCCTATCCATGATATTATGTGAAACGCTTCATGTAGATGTCAAAGTGGTGCATGACGCTTGCATTGAGTGCTACGATGAAGCCTTAACAGTAACACTAGTAGATCATAGATCAAATTCACGCCAACACAAGTCTTTGACAAACCACCCAACCACCCATTCCTCAAGTGTTCACACGTCACTTTGAAGAAGAGAACGCGCGTCAGATATCAAGTTTCGGATTGTGCATGTATATGTGGACTCCCACATTGAATTTGGGTCTCAAGAATGTATATTATTTGTTGTTTGCATGTGTGTACTAGTGATAGGTGTTATAATGTGAGTATTGCAGGGAATTAAGCTGCATTTTCTAAATTCTGAGTGGCAGTTGAGAGTTTGAGAGTTACCATGACGACTGTGGCTCATCCTCAGACAACACAGCTTGAATAATAACACCTAACTCAAGTGTTTCTCTCTTATTTAATGCTAAAGGTTAGTAAAAATTGTCGAGTTTCAGAGGAAAAAACTGTTACTCAAATGCCTTTAACTTGAAATAAATGCTTTATTTCGAGTGAATGTTCAATTTATTAATGATTTTAGTATAGTTATGTCATCGAGAAGTCTGTTGGTGTATCATTTAGCTACCCGAGATACCTAATGTTACCTGAGATCAAATGTGTATTAATAAATTCATAGTTAAGAATACTGTATTTTCTTCATTGTTTTGAATACTATGTTTAAATAAAGACAACACAGAGGACGACTTGTAAAACACAGAACTCGTGTCTCTCTCACTCTCATTTAATATTAAAAGACAATTCTCATCTGTTGAGTGGACCTGCAACATATAGGCTGTCTCTGACTTACTGAAGTAGCGTTAGACTGAAGGTCACGTTAAAGCACTATTGAGGCCATCTTCTCTTTCAATTGTCTTTTATTTTTCTCTTACTTTGAATAAAGTTCACCACTGTGTCCTGATGATCCAAGTATGAACTTTGATTCAAATTTGTTTAATTCACTGTATGTATTACGCAAGACACTTTTGTTCACCACGGTTGCATTTATTTGATCAAAATACAGTAAAAACGGTAATATTGTGAAAATTACCATTTAAAATAAATGTTTTCTATTTTAATGTTTACATTTTTTTTTTATTCCTTTAATGCAAAGCTGAGTTTTCAGCATCAGTACTCCAGTTTTCAGTGTCACATGATCCTTCAGAAATCATTAATTTTGTATTATCATCACAGTTGAAAATAGTTGTGCTGCTTTATAATTTTGTGCAAACCGAGATAAATTTCATTCAGGATTTATTTGAAATAGAAATCTTTTGTATCATTGTAAATGTGTTTACTGTCACTTTTGATCAATTTAATGCATCCTTGCTGAATAAAAATATAATTAAAAAAAAAATTATAATCGTATTGACCCCAAACTTTTGAGGGTCGGTAGTGTGTGTAACGTTAAATGTAATAGAAAGAATAACAGTGGTTTCAAGCAAAAAGACCATTTGCTTTGTGATTTGTCCAACTAATGCTATCTGTCTCTCTCTTTCTTTTTCAGAAGAGGATAGGCTAATGTTTCCGGTGACTCACTATGGTTCGAATGACTGCATGGATCAGTATAGTAACCCCAGGTCGACTCTGCTAACAGATGGCTGGATAGGTGCTGGTGAAGAAGAGGAAGCGTTGCGCAGGAAGTTAAAATATTTCTTTATGAGTCCTTGTGAAAAATACCAAGCCAAAGGCAGAAAACCTTTTAAACTGGTTCTGCAAATGCTGAAGGTTCTTATAGTAACTATACAGGTATTTATTTATTCTTAGATTTTCTTTCTAGTGTTTGTATACTCAACCCACAGCTTATTAAAGACAGTGTTGCTGCTCAAAGTCTCAGTTCTACCCCCAAATTATTTTTTAACCACTGTGACATTCCCTAGAATCCCAGAATTGACCTTTGGATTTGCACTCTGAAGTGTCACAGAGTTTGCTAAGTCGGCTAGCAAGCATGAATTTCTTTCGTAGAGATTTAAGCCAAACTTTAAAACCAAGATCTCGCCCTCTCAATGAGCATTAAATGATATGTTGAGAAAATTTGGCCCACACATATATATATACACATACACGTATATACACACACACACACACACACACACATATATATATACATATGTATACTATTTTTACTCACATTTGGCATTTAGCAATTATTATTTTATACAAATTCTTCCTCTTTTGCTTTGTCATGATCTCCAGCTGGTACTTTTTGGCTTAAGCAACGAGATGGCGGTGACGTTTAAAGAGGAAAACACAGCCTCGTTTAAACACCTCTTTCTCAAAGACTACGCTGACTCAGATGACGCGCTTGCTGTTTACACACAGAGAGATGTTTATGATCATATGCATTACACAATAGAACAGGTAATGTATAATTTTGACAATGACACATACACTAACTCTCATTCATATGGTGTCTTTTTCACTGTAATTATCTCGTAATCATTACTATGAAACTAATGAATATATTTTGAGGGGATATATTTGGGCAGCGAGCCCAGTCAAGTCATAACACAATTTTGTTTTCTGAATTTGTTTTTAGGACAAAATATATTCCATAGCTGATGGTCATGTTTATTTGAAACGCCTTATTTAATGGCCTTTCTTTTCACTTGTCTTTCAGTACCTGGCTTTGCCGGAGACGACAGTGGGCCGCTATGCATATGTGTACGATGTCGGTGTGAACGGGAGTGCTCTTTCTCTGTGTCAGCAGTATTATAAAAAAGGCCAGATTGACCCAGCTAACGACACCTTCAACATCGATCCGCATGTGGTCACAGGTGACACGTTTTTGGCCTCTTTTTACTCAATTGTTCAATCATTGTTTAATCTGAGAAATATACCTGTCCAGTGTATAGGATCAAGGCAGATACTTAATGAACTTGCAATATTAGTTATTAGTATAACAAGCAACACTTATAAATTAATTGTTTAGTTTGTTTATTAGTACTGATTAAAACTTGCTAAAACTAAAAGACCATGTCATTTCCTCTTTTGCACGTTGTTACTTGCAGTTCCTTGTTACTGAGACACAGGAATCACTTTCTCATGTATTCTAAAATAAATCATCGGATGACCCTGTCGGCCACTGAGGCTGGTTTAGGTGCTAAACAATTTCTCTCTTCCTCTCTGTAGACTGTATGGGCGTAAACCCTTTGGCCACTCCCACAGCAGGTCTGGGCCGCGATTACAGGAACTTCACCCTTAAGTTCCATAAGTAAGTTAGATAAGGATTTTAAACGTTTTTTCTACTTATTTCCATTAATGAATTATCTAAAACTGTAATATCAACACGCACTCTCTCTCAGGCTCATTAATGTCACCATACAGTTCCAGCTAAAGGCTATAAATCTTCAGACCATCATCCACAATGAAATTCCTGACTGTTACACTTTCTTCATCACAGTGAGTTTGCACATGAAATGTTACTTTAACCCAATAAAAAAGACAATTATTTTAAAAGAGCTATTAATATATTCTGTATATATAAACTAACTAATAACAATGCTATGTACCTATATATAGTTGTATTTACTGTATATAATGTTATTATTTTATGCTCAGATTCTGCTGGATAACAAAGCCCACAGTGGTAAAGTTAAGATCAGTCTTGATAATCAGGCCTCCATAAAGGAATGTAAAGACCCAAGTGTGTCTGGACATGGTAAGATTCAACTACCTCATTCACTTCACTTTTCAGATCAATTTTTGGGGATTTCCTAATTTTTTACATGGTGGATAATCACCATATGCTTGTTCTCGTGCTATCTCTCTGTCTCCAGCTGATAGTAATGCTCGTGTGTGGTTTGATGCGGCGGTTGCAGTGGTGTGTATTCTCTCTCTGGTCCTCTGTGGTCGCTCTATCATCAGAGGAATCATTCTTCAAAATGTAAGATATTGTATCAAACAAATCCACATTAATATGCCAAAGATCACTTAGTGAATCCTGTTCTAACGTTCTCTCTTCAGGAGTTTGTAAAGTACTTTAGGAATTATCTGAACCGTGATGTCTGTTGGGGAGACCGAATGGAGTTTATTAACGGATGGTATATTCTGCTCATCATTAGCGACATGCTCACGATCACAGGCTCCATGATTAAGATCGGCATTGAGCTAAAGGTCAGTCGAGCTGATGTGCATCAGAAATATATTCTGAAACCTTTATGTACATTGATGTGAACAAAGATCCATTGCATTAGGTCAATCAGCACGGATACTTCATGATACTTTGTTTCAACCCTCAGAACCTCTCATCGTACGATGAGTGTGGGATCCTTTTGGGCACCTCGACGTTATTGGTTTGGGTTGGAGTTATTCGCTACCTCACCTTCTTTCAGAAGTACAATGTGAGAGACAAACACACCCACACACCAATGTACATGCAGTTTACACTTAAAGTTTACACTTAAATTTTCCTTGATCTTTACTGTAAAAAGTATGAAAAATATGTATATATTATTTATTAAATTATTTTAACAAGGTTGCTGACATGTCTAGATCTTTGGTTGAACTCTATACATTTCTGGAATAAATGCACCGTTTTATTTATTTATTTAAAAAACATACATATACATTTTTTGTATATACACCTGAAATTGACCACATCTCTAGAGAAGATGTGCTTGTGAAACAATTGAGATGTTTCTTAGGATGTGGAATTTGTTTACTATATAGTGTTTTCCTTTCTCAGATTCTCATTGTCACATTACGAGCTGCATTCCCTAATGTGATCCGTTTCTGTTGCTGTGTGGCGGTGATCTACCTCGGGTATTGCTTCTGTGGGTGGATTGTGCTGGGACCCTATCATGTTAAGGTATACAACTTAAGTCTGGCAGTCTGTGATTGACACAAGCTAATTAAGCATAATTAATTCAAAATAATTTAATGTGGCATTACATGGAATATGTTCAGAAAGAAGACATGTTTGCATATATGTGTGTGTGTGTGTGTGTGTATTATTTTTTTATTTAGCAACAATCAGTAATTTTGACATTATTATTTTGTTTAGGAATATGACAGTTGTTTTGGTTTAATTTATGCTGTAATGTAAAAAAAGAAACCGTAAAAAGGTTTATAATGCACATACTGTTCAAAAGTTTGGAGTCACTGTGCGTTCACACTGCCGCCCTGCCAATGACGCCGTAGAAAGATTCGTGGACACTCTGACGTAGATCGAATGCTTGGTCTTTTTTTAAAACTTTATTTAAAGGCGCCGCGAAGCAAACAAGCATGTTGGCCGTTATTTGTGCAGACTTGACCAAGTAGGGTATAAGTTAACCTCATGGAATCTTTTAAATGTGAAAGTAAGAAATTGATCGATGGAAAGAACTTAACAATTATAGTGACATATTTGCTAACGAAATAAACCAATTAAAAGCCATTTGTGTGGTGTGGCTTTTGTGTTCATGGTTAAGTGCTAAACTAATTTGCATTCCCGCTGAAAAACAAGCGTTCTAGCGCAAAAATGTTGCCTATAAATAGTGTTGCACGCCTTCTTATCAAATTCACATGATCAACCTCTCCTCTATATTGCTTGGGAACTAATGTGGTCAGAACCAAAGTTTACAGGACTCTGGAATCCTCTCAAGCGGAGGACTTTTACATCCTGATTGGTTGCCGCCGAACCGCGTCATAGCTCATTACCATAAAGTTGACCTGACCTCAACCCTCCTCGCCGCCGGCTCACATTGAAAATGAATGACTTCCGGCCACTTTGACGTTTGACGGCCACAATTCAGCTTTGCATCACAGGAAGAAATTACAGTTAAAACATTAAAATTGAAAACAATCATTTGAAATTGTAAGAATATTTCACAATATTATTGTTTTTACTGTATTTTTTTATCAAATAAATGCATCTTAAGGTGTAGAAACTTTTGAACGGTAGTGTATATGATGTATGTACATAAGGAAATGTACATGTGTCTTCTCTCTCATTATCTATTGTATGTGGTGTTTATAGTTTTTGTTTTGCATCCTCAGTTCCGCTCTCTCTCGCTGGTGTCAGAGTGTCTTTTCTCTCTGATTAATGGAGATGACATGTTTGTGACCTTCAGTGGCATGCAAGAGAGCAGTTTGCTAGTCTGGGTATTCAGTCAGGTGAGTTTAACACTCACATCCTCACACAAGTACATACATTACAAATGCTACAGGATTCAGAGCACTAAAGACACTGTTCTTTTGCAGGTTTACCTTTACACATTCATCTCTCTGTTCATTTACATGGTGCTCTCTCTCTTTATCGCTCTCATCACTGGAGCTTACGAGACCATCAAGGTAAGAGTGAGAGATGATAAAGAGATATAAATGAAAAACTTGTTTTTCTTCCTGATAATGCTCACAACACGCACATGCACAAACATGAATATCTTTATAGGGAAACTCTCATTTTAAAACTTAGAATTCAATACGTTTATTTTTTAGTTTGTTTTTAATCATATTAAAGTGTCATTTTTGGCTTATCTTTCTTGTAAATTATAAGTTGTTTTTTCCTAATTAAGGTGACACTGACAGTTATATATAGCTTGAGTATGGTAATGTGATATCCTGTCATTTCCATTCAGCATCAAACTCAGGAGCCGTGCCACATCACTGACCTGCACGCGTTCATCGCTCAGTGCACCGACACACCCTGCTCTGGAAAGTTTCGCGGGATCGAAACCTCGCCCTGCTCGTTCTTCTGCTGCTGTGACAGGTGTGTCACTATAGAAACAAAGAAAATGCCTCTTAAGGTCGGCAAGAAACGGAAGTCTTTTCTTCCCTATTCTGACGTATATCCAAGTGGAAATGAGAGCTTCTGATTTAAACCCAGCCCCTACAAACTCTCATTCCTCTGCCTCCACTTTTGAGTGCAACAGCCGATGCATTTTCACTTTTTAAATATTCCGTTGCACTTGGATGTACGTCACAGTATAGAAGATAGTATAGTTTTATCATGACTTTACATTGGGGTATTAGAAAATATTATAACATAAAATACATTTAACATGAAGTATTTCAACACGAAAAATGACATACTTCACTTTTTAATATAACTGAATGCTGTAATTGTGTCTGTTGGTGCAACCCTGCAGAACCACCACATATGAGGACGTCCTCCTTGTGAACTAGTGAAGTGATGGGTCTTGAGGCCTGACTGCACCTCCCTCTGCTGGTCACACTGCGCTAGAGCAACAGGACAGAAGCCAGTAAAAAGCTCCAGACTAAATACTCAAGAAGTCAGTCGCTTCAGTTTGGACCTGAAGCGGAGAAGAGCATATATGATTTTTCCTGAAGAATCGCTTCAGTGGGAATAAACTAGTTTTACCTCCCCTTGTTTTTAGTTTTAACTCAATTCTGGAGGTTGCCAAATGGAGCCAAGTACCCTCTCTTTGTCTATGCTGATTAAAACGCCCAGAAGGTTTGAATCGAAAGACTGTTAAACGTGGACGTGCAGGCGATATGTACAGTAATCACTCCCTGAATGTTGATCCCACATGTTGGTTCAGTGCACGTGCTGTGGTGTGCAAGTGGGTCACCAGTCGCCGATACTGAGAGTCATAGTGGCGTGTGTGACGGTGGTCAATGATTCATAACTATTGAGTGATTCATATAACCTCTAGTCACGTGTAATGTCTGCATCAGAAGATGTTTCTAAAGGAGACTGAACTGGCAGGCACAAGCGTTTAGCAGATGTTAACCTCACAAGATGAGGAGACCATGAGATTAAACATAACAAGCTTTGGTAAAGTTGGCTCTTATTCCGCACTTAGAGCAGAAACAGCACTCCCAAAATACATGCTCTGCTAGTATGAATTCATGCTCAGAATGCCTCAAAACCTTGGCCTTAACACTCTCTTGATGTGTATAGATGGCTATAATACCTCATTGTTGGATGAGATGTTGAATAGGACGATTCATTCGCTTTTTTTGTGTTTTTTGAGCTTTTGATTCACAAATTCAACAATAATGACACCTCTATATTTGTTTTGACACTGATTCATTGTTTCATATGCAGACTGAATCAAATCCCTCTGTTTGCAAGTGAAATTATATTAGACAGCCTTACCCTTGCTGATCTAGTACTTTATAGAGAAAGACTGACTTTTACAGCTTTGTTTTAAATCAGAGGCCTTCGAGAAGATATCGGTCGAGGACACTGTGTTCTGTTACCATGGTGACATATTAAAACAATATAACCCATCCAAAATGCCCTTTTTACCTTCTCCATTATACTTGACTTATAAGAGAAGCAAGTATAAATATTTAAATTCTGGGGCCTGTGCAAGCCATTTACTCAAGTGCACAATAAGTGGGACCAGTTATGTGATATGATTTTGACGTCAGTCAACAGCTTTTTGGTCATACTACATGATTTCCTTTTTTTTATTTTAATCATCCTGTATGATTTTAATTAGTAACTCAATCAATTGTGTTGGCTCTGTTGCCTTTCTGTTTTAAATGAATTTAAAGCGCACAATTTATTTACATGTGAAGCTGCACCAAGTGGTGATGTTGTAGATGTGTACCCTGAAGTATTTCATATTTCATTTTATCCTGCTTATTGTTTGATTGTTATTATGATTTTTTTGTGATGGTTTGGAATGGACAACTTGTGCAAATACTTCACCATTTTGCTGTCAAAAACATCCATGCATTTTAGATCAAATGATGTTGAAGAATCTACTGACCTTCAAACTGGAGGATTTTAATTTCCTGTTTTTTCAAGTGTCATTGCACATTTTTTTTTTCCTGAACTGTGTTCTTGACAGGGTTATATGTGTTATTTTAATGTTCATATGTATATGTTCAATACAGAGATTTTCTAAAGTCTGTTTAATATAGTCACTTTTTTTCCTTTTTGCTGTTCTACATTAACCATCTAAACTTAATTTATTGGTATACCATATGACCACCACTAGATGGTATAATGAGAGCATTTTCCCTCCACAAATCTGAACCCTTTAAAATTTAAGGTAGTATGTGGCACCTAAATTGCTCAAGTAAAATATTAGTTTTGAAAAAAAAAAAAATTGTAGGCATGTTTGAATAGCTGGACTAAGCAGGTGCTCTAGCCAGTGTACATTGTTTTAGATGGCTATCTGAAACCACAGAAAGAGATTACACACACTGTTCAAACAGAGAAAGCTCCATTAGATGCTGATCTCAGACCTGTGGCCATTGATAACAAGAGAACCGTTCTATGAAGGCCTGCTTTACTATTCTGTGAATATGAGCCACACCCAGCTATTCAAGCACAATGACTTAACAGGAAGAGATTTAATTTAACCACATCAGTAAGTCCATTGTGATGATGTACAGACAGGTCTTGCAGCAGTATAACAAGAAAGATAATCTTCTGAGACTTAAATTTAATTCGTCTAATCCAAAATCATTTCCGTGATGCTTAATGCACTCAGATGTTCACAACATCCACGTTCTCGGTTAACCGTAGGGGTGAGGATAGCAATTGTCAGACTTAAACACTGTTGGGAGGTTCAGTGATATTGGTGCTATATGATTGGCTTCACCCATAGATTCAGATCAGCATATTAAAGACAAAGCAGATCCTAAATAAAACCGGTCTAGACAAGAAGAGCAATGTACAGTGCACAGCTGCAGGCCTGTGAGAGTCACTCTTTTACAAAACTTCCTTTTGAGATGCACACTATTCACACTAAAATGTGTTTTGTCTATTTTCTCTCCCTCTTATGTACGTACACAAAAATCAAGTGTTGCTTGTCCATCAATGAACCTTTCTTTGTCTAACAGGATGAAGTTTGCTGTCATACTGATTTTTTTCTCTCTGCCTGAATGCTAGCTGCTTTTAGGCCATGAATACGCCTTTTGTTTTTAAAGAAAAATACAATTTCAAGAGTGTGAAATTACTCCACATAATTTCCTGAATGACACTTGTGCACACATTTTCAAATCTTTTTTTAAACTACTATTAGAGCAAAAACAGGCAATATTAATTTTGTTCTGATTTCTGATAATTAACCCTTAAATGTTTTTGTACATATCTTGTATGTTTTTTTTGTTTTTTTTTTACAAACTATGAAATTAAAAATAAAAACAATATATATTGGAAAATATCAATAGATACATTTTCTCAGGTAGCCTACTTGTGTGTGTTGAGTTGGTAGTCCTCAGTCATGCTGGATGCTAGATAGGCGGGGCCATAGTTTGCAAAGTGACATCACTGCCCTTTGAAGTGAATTTCGGTACTTGACCCCATTGGATGAAAACCGGGAGTCCGATGGGCTTTTTGGTGGCTTGTTCCTTTTTTGTTTCTTAATTGCCACGTTAGTGTTTGGTTAATTTCCTTCACACTGGTTTCAGCTCAAGGTGAAACGCGAGAGTAAAGCAGCGGGCTGAGATAAAGGTGGTGTTTTTGCACGTTTGTATATTTTAAGCAGTTTGCACAAGGAACCTCACGGCTCCCGTATCACCGGTGTGAAGTCGTGGATTGCCTGCTTTTCCAGATTGAAGCAGAGGAATCGAAACAGGACGCTTTTAAAATCATCTGAAGGTAAATTAATGGCATTTTAGAACATGTTTACTTTGCTTATCTTTCAACCTGTTTGCCTGGTTCAAATTCTCGGTTAATATTGTCACTTCATTCGGGACCAAAATCAACTTGGTTTGCATTCGGTTGTCGTTCTGAATATTTTCTCGTATCAGGTTCGGTTTCGTTCGGATTTTGCATGTTTGGGTTGGGCTGGGCTTTTAAAGGATGCATCGATTTACACACATGGTATGAACTGAACAGCGGCCTGCGCTACGTTTGTTACACCGATTCTTTTTTTTAATATGAGGCTACGTTTGTATTTAATCATTGCGCGTGAAGGGCATCGTAATTAATCACATTTTTCGCGTGGCTGCTGCGGACGGTTACATGTAGCGATTCGTGCTCGGATAAAAATGTATGTCCTTGCAGGAACATGTTTTCTTGAGCATAAAAGGATCATGTTTTCTACAAAATAGCCTATGAATACAACATTCATCTGTCTTAAATTCAAAGAAATCGCTGTATTTTGTGGGGGGTTTTATAGTAAGCTAGCCTATATGATCAGCATAAAACGTTTAGTGATGTTCTTGAGAATTACAATGTTGAGGAATTCAAATCCCTGTTGGTCCACAACATGAGCTAGCTGTCCTGTTTTATTCTTACCCGCCTCGCCTCTTTATCCGACTAAACTTCTAAAGCTCAGAGAAAATCGATAGTATAAGTGGACTCTCATGGATTGCCGTTGTTTGATATGGTCGTGATGTGGACCGCCTGTGGTAGGCTACTTATCCTGAGCTTGTCTGGACAATGCCACGTACGTTTTGACTTGAAATTATCGTTTGAATCGTGTTGATGTCATTCTGTGTTATCACCTTGCCCTTGTAACGCCAGTAGGTATGCATGTAGATAACAGCGTGTCTCTCATCACACCCTGTATCTGTCTGTTTACATTCTAGGCTTCAGTTCTAGAAGTTCATGACCGCTTTTAGCGCTAATGGCCCGGATATTTACGCGGCCGCTCCGGGAACTGTTGCCCATTCACCAGCGATTCTTTCATGAGCGGTCGTTTTGTGTGAAAACAGCAGATTTTAAGCTGCATTCGGTAATTTATCCCAAATTAACAGGGTTTACACAAAGATATGTAAAGCACTATTTGGAAATATCATTTGAATGAGGTACACTCATTAGATTAAGACATATCAGTCTTATTCCAAAAGAGTTCATTCTACACAGAGCGGGTCGCCTATCATGGGCGTAGCCATATTGAGATCACGTGACCAGCGGAATTATGCAATTAACCAGTTAGTAATTTTAACAATATTAATACATTGACTTTAAGTAAGTAGCCTACTCAAACTTAACTGTCAGTACTTCTAAACAAAGCAAGCTAGTAAAACAAGTTAACAGCATGGTCCAGATTGATAGAATAGACTGGCAGGCTGTTCGAACAGAATAGATTCTAGTGGGGAGAAAAAATGCATCCAGGGCAATAGGTGTTACTATGAAGTCCAAAACTGGTACTACTGGATCGAATATAAGCCAGCTAAATGTAGCCTTTACAAAAACTTGCTGAGTGCACCTTTAAGTAATTTGCAAGAGATCAAATTCTTTACAGGGTGTTTTTAAACGCCCCTGTCTATGCCATGTAATGTGAATCAACTATGATGTCTTGCTTAGCCCATAATGGTCTATTGTTTTTCCCAGTTGTCTGTAATGCCAGCTGTTGTTGTGACACCCCCCCCCCCCCTCCCAAAAAAAAAAAAAACCCTGATTGACCTGACCAAACAATCCAGAGCTAAAACCAGTTTGATGCTAGAATGGTAGAACAGAGTACATATGAAAATGGGCTTTCATTGTAATGTCTACTTGTCCTAAAATTTATGATAGCCCCTCTCTGTTTCAACGTGTGCCTGAGCTCAGGTTAGTCAGAATAGTGTTGAGCAGGGACAGCTGCTTTCAATGGTTGTTTTAGCCATACTACTTTGACAGCCTTGTTTAAACAGGACATTTTTACCAATCTCTCTTGCTGCTCCATTAGACTTAGGTTGTTTTTAGCCGATAGTACCATGTATCGATTGGTTGTGCTTTCTATTGCATCCTGTGAGCTAATGATTTCATCACTTGAGTCATCTTGGGCTGGAACCAAAACAGGTTTTGTCATTGTGGTGTTGCATTTTGGTGCTGCTCCTCAAGTCTGTGGTCGGTATTTTTGCTATGACATTAGTTTTTTTGGGTTTTTTTTTTTTCGTGCACTGAAGCTCAAACGTGCTGCGTAACACACGAGAATGAACCTCTTTGGTTCTTGCGCTTCCGTTTACCACAACTGATGAGTGTGTTGATGAATGTTTATATGTGAATAAAAGCCTAAATTCAATCTGTTCATCATAAAGCGATTGAGTCTCTTCAGAGAATTTGTAAAACTAATCCACATGAATTGAGCGTTTTAGTCCAATCTGTTTATGAACTTTTTTTAAGGGTCAAAGTGGTAGTTGCGTAGCTGTCAAAGGAGGGACTGAAATCTCTGATTGAAAAATATCTTGGGTTTGGAACGACATGAGGGTAAGTAAACGATGACAGAATTTATTTTTGGATTAATTAACCCTTTAAGGGTGTTTGTATGCATATCTATTGATGTCCTGGCCAATGCAGCAGTCACAGATTGGACCATTTAACAGCTTTTGAGATGTCTGGTTGGCTTCAGCTTAGCCGTGACCTCATGGTGGGGTCGTCGAGTTGGACAAGCAGATGCACAGCTAGGAAGAAGGCCCAATTTTCTATAGCAGATGAATTGAATTAAATAAACCACATCATCAAATTGGTTTGCTTATTCACCACCAGTCCACTGCCTTACAGATACTCTAACTTAGTTTAGTATAAACTCGATTGACTCCACTTCTCGTAATGTGAATTCCAGACAATAATTAAGTCCTGGTACTGTTTCGTTTCTTGTGAAATGGCTTCCTGAGTTTTTACCATCGGGATAATCTACTTGGTGCTTGACGTCAGTTTCGCATTTGGAAAGAACATTTTGAAATACCCCTTTATTATATTAAATCCTTTCTGGTGGTTTTATAACCCCCAAATCTGCTGAAACCCTGCCACTGACATAAGAGCTTTTAACTGTCAGCAAACCAGTGCTAGATAACTTGGCAGAGAGTTTATTTGTGTGTTTTTTAGATGGAGCCGATGTCCTGTTTTAATCCTCCTGGGCTCAGTTTCTATCCATCACAGCGTCCTGCTGCGTGTCCAGTATGCAAACTACACCCAAACCATCACGCCACCATTCACCATCTGTTCTTTCTATCCTTCCCTCTCTCAAAACTC